CCCTGAGCGCAAATCTAATGATGAAAAAAACTCGGAACCTTGTAAAGTATCAAGGGCATCGTCAATCCTGGAAAAAGGATACACGTCTCTTCGAATGATCTTATTTAGGCGCTGGTAATCCACGCAGAAGCGAACGGAACCATCCCTTTTTTTAACGAGCACTACAGGTGAGGCCCATGGACTTTGTGAAGGTTGAATGACGCCACGTTGCAGCATACCGTTCACCTGTTCGGTAATAACTTGGCGTTCCGTCACAGAAACACGATATGGTCGCTGTCGTAGTGGTGCATGGGAGCCGGTATCGATGTAATGTAGAGTGGTAGAAGTGCGGCCAAGTGAAGGTTGAACAACATCGAAAGATTCGCGGTACTGGTACAGCAGTTGGATGAGTTCAGATCGTTCAGATGGTGACTGTCCGTCTGCGATCGCCGAATCGAACACTTTTGAAGCCTGTAGATGAGAGTGGTTAAGAGCACTGACGGCGGCGAGGTCACTTTGGGATGATTCTTGCGGCACAGTAAAAATTTGTCCGTTATCAATGGGCTGTACGCATCCAAGAGACTCGCCTTTAAACAGTTTGATGGTATGCGGAAAGGGATTGGTAAGGCAGAGAGCACTGGCTCCATTAGAAATTGAGAGGGCTGAATAAGGGAGCAGAAGTGGTTTCCGACTTAGAAAGAGGCGTGATGGCTCGAAAACTGCTACTTCATCACGCATGCCGTCGGAGACCACAGGGAGCAAAACAGCTGTTGTCGGTGGAATGTCAGTGTCTTCTTTGACAACTAGCTTGTGCGCGGCTTGATTAGTGTGGTCGTAGGGCTGCTCGAAGAACGGAAGCAGTTCAAGTTCGGAACGGGCACAATCTATAACGGCACGATTACGGGATAGGAAATCCCAGCCAAGTATGATGTCATGAGAGCACGAGGAAAGGACGATAAACTCAACAATGTAGTGGTCCTCCACAATTTTGAGTCGGGCAGTGCAGGCGGCTATAGGTCGAACAGATTCACCATTTGCTGCACGTAAGAACATATCAAGCGGCGTGGTCACCTTTTGGAGCTTGCGGCAAAGTTTGGCGTCTATAACAGACACAGCGGCACCGGTATCCACAAGAGCGTATGCATGGGCGCCGTCTACAAAAATTTCGACGATATTTGACGGCAAGGTGCGAGGACTTGAACATTTCGATGGCGCAGTTCTTGCCCCTTGAACTGCGACGGCTAGTTTCCCTCATTTTGAGGGGCTGGTCGTGGACGCATGGGTGACAAGGAGCGTCGATTGGGTGAAGGTGTGCGACGAGACGAAGTTGCCGGATAGTCACGGGAAGACGTGTTTGACTGACGATCCAAACTTTCATAACCAAAAGGTGGTCGGTCCATGTAATTGCTTCGTGGTCGGACGTCTGTGTAGGCGGGCATGCGACGACGGCAGTATCGGGAGATATGGCCAGGTCCGCCGCACGCAAAACAAATCGGCCGGTTATCGCGCGTTCGCCAGGCATTTGCTGCAAGGGGCGCCGCCCACGCGGCATACGGCTGAGTCGAGGCTGTGGTAGCGAGGGGAGGAGCCCATGCCACAGAAGACTGAGTAGGAGCGGTGACATGCGGCAGTCCATTGAACGGCGAGGGCTGGTGTGGCTGCTGCCTCTTTACTGCGTCAGCATAAGTAAGAGGCGCGGCGACAACTTGCTGCTGAAAGGGCACTGGCATAGCCTCGGCAATCTGGTCCTGAAGTGCATGTCGGAGCATGGGAGCTAACGGTGTCGGTGGTTGCTCTTGCTGCTGCTGCGGGAGCTCTTGGCGCTGACAAAACGGCAGGAGAGAAAGCTGACGTGCGACCTCCTCACGCACACAGTCTTTCATTTGTGCTAGAAGGCGGGAGTGGTCAGGTACGACGTCCAGGGCAGCGAGTGGTTGGTTAGGCTGAAATGGACGACGGGTGAGAGCTCGTTGCCGTCGCAATTCGTCGTAGTTCTGGCACAGAGTTACCACTTCAGACACCGTGCCAGGAGACTTCGCCAGGAGCATTTGAAAGACGTCGTCATCAACACCTTTCATAATGTGCTGGATCTTATCACTTTCGCTCATTGCGGCACCGACGCGCTTGCAGAGATCGAGTATATCTTCGATATAGGCGGTAAACGTTTCGCCGTTTCGCCAGGTTCTTGTGCCCGTGAGCGCAGGCGTTGTTCGGCGCGCAACTTCCGCACGGCAGGGCGACCGAAAACCGAGGATATTGCCTGCTTGAAAGTGGCCCAGTTCTCGAACTCGGATTCGTGGTTTGTATACCACAGTTTCGCCACATTAGCCAAGTAAAAGTTGACGGTGCTCAACTTAGCAGCGTCATCCCACCTGTTTGGTCCACTGACTTTTTCGTAGGACGACAGCCAGTCCTCGACGTCCTGGTCTTCAGCGCCCGAAAATATCGGGGGGTCTCGCTGGTGAACCGGGCCGGGGCAAGTAGGAGCCGTGAGAGGTGCTGTCTGTTGGGCAGCGTCAACTTGCATGGTCGACGGCATAGTGCGGGATCGGAGTTCCAGGGTGTAGGTGATGCAGTTACCCAGCACGATCCACCAAATGTAAAGGGGGTTTATTGAAGGACTGAGCAAGCGGGTGGTAGCTCTAAAGGAACGCAGGCGAACCCAGATGACGGTGCTTGATCGCCGATCTCGTGCCTTCTTCTTGTGCTGATGATAGCTGACCTGATGGTATCAACGTCTTTCTTATTCACTACAATATGAATATTAGAGACGCCATAGAGGAGAGCTCCGGAAATTTCGACCACCTGGAATTCTTTAACGCGCACCCAAATCTGAGCATATGGACGCACAGCGTTTTTGCCTCCGTCGAAAATGCAACTGCCGCAGCTGGGATTCGATCCCGCGACCTGCTGGTGAGTATAGCCGAGTACCTTAGCCACTTGACGACCGCGGTGGTGCATGGCGGAAACGCCAACTGAAGGTTAACACGTAATTAAAAGCTAAACGAGCGCCCCGCCGTGGTGGTCTATATTTGGCTAAGGTACTAGGATGCTGACCTGCTGGTCGCGGGATCGAATCGCAGCTGCGGCAGCTGCATTTTCGATGGAGGCGAAAACGCTGTGTGTCCATTTGCTCAGATTTGGGTGCGCGTTAAAGAATTCCAGGTGGTCTAAATTTCCGTAGCCCTCCACTACAGCGTCCCTCATAATCAGATGGTGGTATTGGGACGTTAAACCCCACATATGAACCAAGCAAAGGCTAAACGAGCACTATTACAACGTGCAGAAAGAAGTTCAGGGACAAATCGGAATTCATTACCGAGACAGTGGATATTACCCCCAAGTTTGATCAGTGTTAAATGTTGAAAAAGCACCCATCACAAATCAAGCGAGTTATCGCCGAAGCGCATTTTATAGCAAGGACTGGAATCGCATAGGCCAGCGCTCACTCCTTGGCCTTATTTGTGTATAAGAACTGTCCTTCCATGATTAGACGAACCATCTATGAAGCTAAATTGGTTGCTTGGACATGTTGGTACGACATATTGGAGGGAGACAGGGCGGAAGACGAGAGACCATGCAGGCAAAGGAGGACACATACAGCAGCGCTACCTTACAAGAAAAGTGTATTTGTCAAACCACTCATTGTATATGCCTGAGCAGTTCAAACGCAAAGAAGAACGAAAAATGACAGTCGAATTTAAACGAAATACGAACATAATCGTTAAAAACATGCTGATAACGCAACGAGTGCAGTCATCCTAATGGAAACACAACCTTCTTTTCTCACAGCGCAATTGTAAATTTTGTTTCTTCTTTTCGTTGCAACTGCGCAGGTATATGGCGCAAAGTTTGACGAATAAACTTTTGTTGTGAGTCAGCGCTGTTGTATCTGTCCTTCTCTGCCTGGTCTTCCTTCGTTCGTGCTGTTTCCCTCCATCTATGACATTTTAATCTGTGACGTTGGGAAGGTGTGGTCTTATCTTGGCATTACGCTCGGGTGTTTTTCGATGTACGCTTGCGCAAGAATATACATTTTATACAATGGACCAATAAATATCAGTTTTAAGTAAGCTCTGTGTCCTTTCGTGCTGGCCAGCGTGGCTGTTTTTTTCCGTGATGCGCTTTCCCGAAATCACCTGATCTTCAACGCTTTAAAAACCTGCACTAGCTTTGCTCTGAGCCATGAGGGACGTTTTGGTTACGCTTTGTGTATTGCTTACGCGTGAAAACTATTAACTATAGGAGCAATAAAGACAATAAACAAGACATATACTATACACAGCCTTGCATGTCAGTTACTTAGATGAGCAGTTGTCACGTCTAAGCTAGGGAATCAACCATAAATTTAGAGGAACCCTAGTGGAGCAATGATCTGCGTTAACAAGCATGTAATCAGCAAATAATACAGCAAAAGGTTTATTAAAGTTCTGTGTTATAGAGCTAGAGCTTAATACCGTTGTTTTGGGCGTCAGATGAAAGGGTTTCTACAAACCACCAATACGTAAAAGCGAGTTTGTATCATTTTAACTTCTAGTCGGATGTTTTTGACTCAAAATCAATATCGTTGCTGTTGACACAGCGTTCATTCGACCTGGCTTGCCGCATTCATCTTAACTCTGTAGAATGACCATTCTGCGATTCCGCCGTAAAGCTATGTATTACATGCAAGTTTGTACCTGTGTTTGTGCTGTGTTCGTCTGTATATGTGTGTGCACGCGCGCGCACGTGCATGTGTGTGTGTGTGTGTGTGTGTGTGTGTGTGTGTGTGTGTGTGTGTGTGTGTGTGTGTGAAAGAGATAGGCAGCAAGTGAAATTTGTTATAAGAGTTTTAAACACAACCGTATGCTGCTCTAAATTTTCAAACATACCACGAGCGAATTCACCTCAGTTGAACAGACAAATCCACATAATGCCTGTCATTACTGACCAGCTCCCGTGATTCCATGTAGTGAATAAACTGCATGCAAAGCAAAGCTCAGCCTCCAGCAATTTTTGCTTCTCCCACGTCTTTCGCAGCCATGACGTGTTCGAATGAGAACGAGCGGCTTCTGACGAGGTACATGGATGACTGGGAAGGTGTTCTGATAGAACAGCTGCAAAACGGCAGCGCAGGGGCACTACCTCGAAAAGAATCGGCTGCGTGGAAGGTTTTGCTGAAGGACAGCGTCTATGTCTTCTCAGCCTACCTGGCGAACGCCAGCATTTGGGGCGTCCATGTCGTCAGTCTCGTGCGTAAAGACGCCGAACTGAGCAACTCGACCGCGCCATCGATCGAGTGCTTCGTTCGCACAGCCGACGGCAAGTCGTTGCGAAGGCCCGTGATCGTGAAGAAAATGTGGGAAGAGTTCCGTCACGACTTTGTCAGGGCTCACCTGATCTGCCCTTTGGAAGGTGTCGCTGGCATTCAGCCCACGGCAGTTATCCTCAGGACCGCCAGCAGGTCCGACACCGAACAGGTTGAGTTGCCAGTGCAGAAACTGCCCGAGACCGCGCCCAATAAGTGCTGTTCCCTGTGCGTGAGACCAACGTATGGTACAACGACCAGGCTGTGGGAGGTCGTCGAGTTCGTGACTCACTACAAGCTCTTGGGCGCCCGGTCATTCTTCTTCTACGACTTGGAGATGAGTCAGTCTATGCTACGGCTCGTCGAGCGACTGCAAGCGGAAGGCTGGGACATCACGTTGGTGCCTTTCAAGTTGCCCATACCGTACAACTACTCGAACATTGCCTGGGGCCAGACAGCGATGCTGTCAGACTGCGCGTTCCGGTCTCGCTTCAAGACGGAGTACTTCGTGAACGTCGACTTCGACGAGCTCATAGTGCCGGGAGTCACCTACGGCGCGAACCTGTCGACCTTAATCAACAGCGTCGAACATGGACGAGGCGCCGGTAGAGTGGGCAGCCTCGTTTTGAAAAACCGCGTATTTTGCTACGAACATCAACTGAACCGCGACTACGTTCGTCGGGACGTGTTGCCGCTGCGATCCACAATCTTGAACACGCATTTGAGCGCGGTCGACAACAACTTCACGCTTAAATACATCGCTCGCGCTCGTGCTGTTTGCTCGGCGGCGATACACAGGGTTGTCGAGTTTTGCATCGATTCTCAAGAAGCTGTCCGCATGAACAGTAACGAGCTAGTGGTCAACCACTACCGTAGATGTTGCTCATACGGCGTGGGCAAGGAAAAGAGCTGGGGCGTCGATTTTCGCAATGCCGACCGCCTGTTCGTCGACGATAGTGCCAAAGCACTAGGCAGTAGTTTCTATGGGTTACTGCCGTTCGTAGCGAGATCTCTGCAACCGGGCGGACGTGAACTGAGGCAGAATTATGACACGCGGGTAATAAATGATGATAAATAATTGAGGAATATTCTTGAATAGCCACGCAGAACAAAGAGCCGATGTGTCCATAATGGCTTGCGTTGTAGCTAAGCTGCGTTATGCTGTAACCTTTTTTTCTTTTTTTGTGTGCTGACCGTCATGATAACTAAACCGCAAACCGAAGAATGTAGGCATCTACAAAAAAATGTAGACGTTTAGGGTAGGGTGGGGTAAAATGACCGACGGGGAAAAACGTGACATTTTGATTTTGCCGGCCTCTGTATTGTTTGTTTGTTTCCTTTCATAAATGACGCGTATTCACTTTGAGGGATTGACTAAGAAGGAGACGTTTAGACTGTTAAGTGTTATTAAATAAGATATGTGACTAAAAATCAAAAATGAAGAAGTGGGATGGCATTAATGCGTAAAATATTCAACCTAAAGTACAAATATTATGTTTTTGAGCTGGTATTTCAGACTGCCGTATAACCTGTATGGTAACAACTTTGAAAACATAGTTATGTTTTAACTAATTGAAATAACAAATAATTTTGAATACCAGACTAAAATAGTACTCGCTGAGTAGTTGTAATGAAATCACACACAGCATCAAAGGCATCCCTGTGGCAATATCCCAAGCTTAAGGCACCGAAGCCTAAAACTTTTTTCTCCGATAAGATCAAGCCTATCTTCGCAAGAGGAATAATTAGAAGTCGAGTTCTAATACGAGAATATCTTAACATGACAAAAAGTAATGTGCAATATTTTCCAGTTCTCTGCAGAATTGGCAGAAGGAAGATATCATCATACCAGCCCTGTACAAGTGAAAGTTTAACACGACATTGAAATCGGGTGATCGCCAGTTCTGATTGCCGAGATTGGCTTCACTGCAACTTGCATGGATAACTTATCTGATTATATTCCGTCCACGTGATTAATGCGTGCATCCTACCTTTGTGCTTTTTGTCTACCTTTTCATGCGTAAAAGTCGATGATTGCTCCCAGCGTTCGTGCGGGAAAAATTACGCGGCTGGTGTCAGTGTGTTCGTGACCCGTCAAAAATGGCTAAATTCTGTGCGGCGAAATTTTCGGATCCATGCATGAAGCGACTATTGCGTCAGTACAGCAACGTAAATATTTTTTTTTTGTTACTTTGGAGTACGAGCTACATAACACCAAAAATTTAGTTCGTTTGGTGCAAAGGCGGAAATGTTTTTAAATTCTTGCATGATATGAGGGCAAAACGCGACACGACTTCCTTAAGACTGTGCAAGGGCACACAGAGTGAATTTCAAGTCTGTCGACTGCAAAAGCTGAATTAATTTTTTTTCTCACTGCCTCGTTCCACCTCACGGAGCGTCTCGCTTCGCCCCGCTGACGGGGGCAAAATGAGACATTTGGACCATTTTATTTAAACTTAATTTATGTTTTGAACGGTGGTAACATGACAGTATTTATAGCTCATACCTTGCAACCAAAGAAATGTTTCTGCATTTATGTTTAATTGTAAGAAGTTAAAGAAAATACATATTCACTATTTATTTTTTTCCTATTTTACTCTGCCCTACCCTACATTGTTCTTCAGGCATTTACTTAAAATTAATTTCTTTATTTCGAAATTAGATCATTGAAAAAAATCTTTATACACCACGTTTCGCTTTGTACATGATGGCCTCTAAACTGAGCCTTCATCGTAACGACGATTGTAGTGCAGTGTCCGAGCTTGATATCCAGGTACAAGCACTGCAGCTGGACAGGTGCAGTTTCGAGCCTGTTTAAGGGCATTTGATGTCTCTCCCAACAGTATTCGCGAACGACTAGACGTATTCGTTGTACTTAATTTTGAGTGAGAAATCTGGCTCCCATTCCGATTGAAGAATTGGTGGGGTACACCACAGCTGCGCTGGAGGGGTCCACCATGGCTCCGCTGACGTATTTCCGTCACGGACATGACGTTGTCATATCTGTACTAACAGACATGACAACTCTCTGAGTGTGTGTATTTTCAGCGCTTGTTTCATCATGAACCTGTACCAACAGGCCCAACTGGCAGTCATCCTAAATGTACTAACAGATTTCAAAGAAAAAAAAAGAGACCGCAGGGATCTGTTGCATGGACTCTAACCGGGATCCAAACGCTTTTGTCAATATACTAAGTGCCCTCGCTGAAGGTTGAGCCAATGGCTTCACATTTCGACAACACGTGGTTGAATGCTGGTAATAGTCCAGAAGCAGGGCAGTCCGCAGTGGGATATTGTTGAGGGTATATGACATGAAGAAACAGATGATTAGCATACCAAAGGTTTTTAAGCTTTGACACGACTCTTTGATCATCAAGAAGTTCAGCACTTTTTGCGTGGTGGTGTCATTGTGTGCAACCTGGCGGCGATTGAAGCAAACGAGGGCTTTCGAGTTATAGCTTGCTTTAAAATACAAAAGAGGTGGCAACTGGTGAAAAATAAAAAAGTATAATTAAAGCACGGAGAGCTTACCCGGTATGCTTTTCATTACACTATCCGGCTTTGTCAATTAGGTCGCACAAGTCTCACCTCAATACCTTGAGTCCTCCAAGCAGACTGTCTTTTCGTACTAGACAATAATTCTCAGCTTTTTATTGTCTGCTTGCATAGATTAGAGGCTTTCAAGCGGTATTTTTTGTAGGAGTGAGCTTTGACTTTGGCAAGAGCAAACTCCACTGGAACTGCTGTACGTTCGTGATCTCGGTGCACTTCAAGTCAATTCATAATTGCAGTTCATGTAATTTGTTGTAACTGCGACACAACTTCCACTTTTGATTTTTTTCCCTGCAGAATTTTGTTGTGTGTTTCTGTTTCCTGTCTTTGTTCTTACCTGTAAATATGATTATCAATGTTCAGCACATATATTTTGATGCTGTTGCTGGGGCAAAAAATAAATTAGTTGAGCGGTCTTTACGAGAATTCATCAAAAGAGATCTGTCCGTAGGCATAAGTACAATCATCAGACACAAGTATACTAAACTGTCGACGTGAGGCCAGGGGTTGGACATCACAATTTTCTAGTCTTTGTCCTATTTAGCGGAAGGTAGAGAAAAATCAACAAGAAAAATTCTACTCAGTAAAAAAAAATCAGGGCAGAAAATACCTTTTGATGGTCACTGTCGAACAGAAAATGCAAGCTTACAGAAAACAAGAAGTACCGATTGAATCTTGTAAATGTTTCTCTTGCCATCTCAGACATAACCAATTTCGAAACGTTTTTCACGTGCATGGCTAATTTTTTTGCACAAGCCTCGCGGTAGTTTTTGTTGAATTTAACTGAAAGGCCGGTACCTAATTAGGCAATTAGGAGAAGAGACAATGTTTCCAGAACTGAGCGCTAAGCCTTGCCATGTAACAGTCTGCCTAAGAATTTTCGTTTGCATGTGACAGACTTCCGTAGCAAGCTGTCGTGGAATCATCTCTGCGACTCTTTTCTCGGAGGGTCCTTGAATCCGGGTTTCGGGGCGGGCGCGGACGGCGCTTCTATGGCTTCTTTGTGGCCACTTTCTTGAGCTGCCGGCTCCTTGAAGCCTGGTGGTGGTGGCTGTGCTGTGCCACCAGCTGTGCTCGTGGCACCCGACGCAGAAGTACTTGAGGGACTCATGCGAGGGTACTCGTTCGCCGGGCACACTCCGGGGTACGGTGGAGGCACGTTGGACGTGTACACCGAATTCGCTGCAACATAAAGCAAAATACCGAAACTATACCTTCAGGTGTAGTCGCAATACGGGCTATGATCACATGAGGATTAAGTTTCTCCTTCCAGACATCATGCATTTAAACACACTTCGCGAAAATTTCGATGCAAGCTTGCGTAAAATTGATCCAACAACAAGGTAGAACTTAAAAACCTGCTTGTATCTCGAAGACGTCAAATTCATTCACGTGAATTTATAAAAAAGAAGACTTGCCAGTTAACGAAAAGTTTGTGTGGCGCATGAGTTTGAGAAATCCCATTGAATTAGATTTTTTTATATTTATGCTACTTAGTGTTTTGTAATATGTAGGATAACACAGCATGAAGAGATGTCACTAAGATCACTGCTACCCACCCCGGCCTTCCTAATTTGCGTCTACGATCATCACGATCAGTTTGTTTTGTGTAAATTTCACGAGAAATGCTTGCCCCAGTGATATTTCATTTAGCACTTATGGTGCGCGCTAATCCCATTTTATGCATGCAAAGTAAATAATTTTATTATTCCACCTAACCTACTTCCATTCTCCTGTGCGATTATCCTCCCTTGGTGTTCATTTCATTGTTCTGCAGAGTTGACCGTTATTCTAGATGGCATTATATAAAATTGATTAATATGCGCGGCTTAACGTCTCAAGTCCATTATATGATTAAGAGAGACGCCGTAGTGGAGGGCTCCAGAAATTTCGATCACCTAGGGTTATTTAGCGTGCACCCAAATCGAAGTACACGGGCCTGCAGCATCTTCGCCTCCACCAAAAAAGACATAAGTAGAGTGGCTAACCGGTGGTCAATTAGAACTACTGTATATATCTATGCTAAGCATATAGGAAACTTTACGTCAGCGAGAATTCTTCGTGCGAATGAAAACTGCGGAGGCGAGTAAAGTCAAAAGAATTCGTTGACGTATAAAAAACCGCTCAAGTTCCTGCTTCCCAAGCTTACAGCTGACAATCGGGGTTTTCAGCAGACAAGATTCCATCATAATTTTGGTAAAGGAGCTCCCAGGTTTACTTATGAAAACTCCAAGATGACATGAAGGCAAAAGCCATCTTTTTTTCCCCCTTACTCGACGTATTCATCCTCCCTTCCGCAACCTCAGAAACCTTCCCTAACATAACGCGGAATTAGACTGCTTCCAGATTAGGAGAATTTGAAAGCGTTACGCATATCACAGGGTTTTACACAGACTCCATGATTGGCCCTCTTTTGAACAAGCGGCACATTTCTGTGATGATGTCATCGTGTAACAGCCTGCGTTTTCTGTTACGTCAGCCGTATGTGCATGCGGTAGCCGCCCACGTGCCGTGTGCCATCTTTTCTTTTTTTCCTCCACACTTTTCCCTATTATTTCCGCGAAGAAAATAGAAATTATGGATTACGCCTGGACACACCATCTCATTCACTTCAAGAGGCACAGGCGCTTCGCTCGGCTAGACTAGTGGCCTTTGGACACATCATTATAGCATCCATACGACGTCATAAATTGGGGGTGTCATGACGTCATGACGATCTGTGATGGCACCAATCTGCGAGTACACAAATATTTGACGTCATGATGACGGCACAGATCGGTGTACCAAAAGTCATACGGCTTCTACGTAACATAACGCAATCGATGACGTCATTGATGTCACGTCACATTGAGGCCATGAGACTTTGGCACATTGACTGCACACATCTACCGACTTGAATTCACTACGTGGCTATCACATGACTTGACCGACCTATATTATTTTTTTTTCGTTATTCATGTTGATGTCGAAACCAGACTTGTGCAGTATCGTCCAGGTCTTGCCAAATCTCGAAGGCGCCGATGGTCCGTTTCACGTTTGGCCTTAACAAAGAGCCACGCTTGCCTGACGTCACGTGAGGGCTCACCTGGAGGCACTTGTGGAAACACGTTGACGGGGAGGAAGAAGCCAACGTTCGTAGTTTGTCCTGGCAGGTAGGCCGTAGGTTGGAGCGGCTGGTACGGCCCAGCAGGCATCTGATGAGCCACTACCATGACGTTTGGTGCACGCTGAGCTGGAATATATATTAGAAAGTTAAGCGTATTCCATCGTGTGGGATATCGGATCTGCGCATTAGCTGATTGAATTGGACAATATGTGAAATATTGATGTCAAATTTGATATCGATATCATCACGATGCAATTGATACCGAAAACGACGCGGTTTACAAAGAACGAATCAGTACTTACTAAACTTGCTCGCGTTCATCATCGCTTGACCGAATTCGATGGCTCCCCCTTTCATGAACTTCAACTTGAAAGAACACTTGCCGGTCCAGTTCCCTGTCACAAGAAGTGAAGAACATCGTCCGAAGTGTGCCGTGACCCAGAATCTGCAGTTATTTGACCTCTAGCGCTTTAAATGACTGGCGACACGGGAATGCTCATGCTCACGAGTGTCAGTATCACCCGTGTCTTACTTCTATTTCTAGAACTAGATGCTGTCCTTAACGGGGTTGTGATGTCAAAATGAAAGAATGTGATTTTTAGGTAGTAAAAAAAGTGAGTTCAAGTTACTATTTCAGACAAATGAGATTGATCTGATTCTTTTTCAGTTTAAGCTTGGCGCGTATATGACTCTGTTTAAGGAGACGCGTGAACTCTCTTAGGAGACTGTTATATTTCGGTATACAAGATAATCGTGGGGCACAAAAGAGAGTTGAAATGTCTCTCTAAAGAGAGTCATACACACGGAAAGTCAAGAATACGCCAAAAAAGTGGCATGTGCTTTTCTGTTTCTTAGAGTGCATGCACGATCTTTGAGATCGTGAGGCCACGCAATTTCGTGTTGTAAGCCATGTTGAATGCGTCTCTATGCTTCCACGCTCTGGCTTTCCAGAAGAACCCAAGACCTGCGCCATTTCATTCACACATTCTCATTTAAACTTGATGCGCAACGCGGCTCGCTGCTGTGGGATGCCACAATTATTGTTTTCAGTGCTTATCGCATCAATGTCGACATCATTCATGAGATCGGTTCTACCGTATTAATATTAAAAATCGTGCGGTACCTTGCTGTAGTTTGTGTTGAAGATTTTCTTAGACACTCTAAAAAACTACAATTTATCCCGTATTAGCAAATTACCCAATAGATGACAATGTAGACGACGGCTAATTCACGAAAAATGGGAAGAATAAACACGGATGGCGAAGAATTTTGCACATTCGTGCGTTGCTTAAATCATTTAGGACTCATACGAAAGTGACCGGTGAAATCACACCACCATTGCGGGGTTCATATAATGAAGTCCCGAAAATAAATGAAATACTAAAAAAAGCACCCTGAAGAGAACGCACAACTCTATGGTGGTCCAAGTAACTCAACTACAAGTGTGCTTGTTTTTAAAAAAGGCTCTGGGCATGGGGAGCTGGTTCACTTCACCATCCATTGAATACCATTACCCAATAAAGCAATGAAGACATTTTGCAGCTAGGAAACTTACTGAGTTAGACATAGAGGCAGGATGCCTGTACATGTTTCGAAACACATTTTGCTTGTATATTTTAAACGCATAGGTGCTTTTTCTTGAACAATAAACGTTCTGTGTTGTCGTCAGTGCTTGTTCTTCCCTATCCTCCTTCTGCAATTTTTCGCATGCTGTTTTCCGTAACAAAGTGTTTCTGAAACTCCTGTTCCGAATGGCCACGTTCAAATTTGATGTAACACTCTACAACTGCTTTTCTGCTTAATATGAATGAAAAGACCGCTCAAGGACTGAACCAGCTCTCATAAAATGAACAGAGCGGCGTGAAGAAACAGTACCACTAATATGATGGGAAGAAAGTTATGAACCTTAAAATCTGAGTTTTAAACGTGTTGCATATTATTTGTTTCAGTTACACGCAGTAAACTTTTGTAACACGAATGGTTGCCGATATAATAGACAAATATATAGAGCGCTTGTATCACACGAACACTTCCACAATAGCCTTTCGTTTAAATTTTACCCGTGTTTCACGCGACTTCCTCGCGTATGACAATGCCATTTCACGATAAGATAGGTGAACAGGATGCGTTGTAGATGCACCCACTGACTTTAGTTTATACGACACGTTCCTTCAGCGTCCCGCTGAGAACCGTGCCCATAGGTGCACGAATGTTCCAAACCGTTTTCCTCGGCGGTGACGTTGCCTCTGATGTAGTTGGCTCCAAAGATGGGCTGCTCCAGACCCAGGTTGCTCATGCTGACGAATGGCATGCTGAACGACTGCAGGTAGTCCTTGCTGTTTTTGTTGATGAAGACCACCTGCAGGCAGAATATAAGTGAAGCGATGTGCAGCAGGTGATCATAAGCGAGCACGGACACCCGCGTGTGTCCGCTTTCACCACTTTTCGCGCAGAATTCACGGAAATTATTATTTTTTTCATGCTTATACATGCCTCGCTTCACTCCAGCGTGAGGACTGGTTTTAGATATGCCCGACATCGCTTTGGCAATCAGAGGCCCGTTCGATGCCGCGACGAATGTGCGCTATGTTTCACCTTTCAAGACATAACTGCAGAAGCGCAGGCACGACGAACGCCGTATTTCCACACTTCAATATATTGAGCTGTTCATACTCGCCATGAACGTAAATTAACTCGCCGGAGTACTATCTTTCTTGAACGCGGGGCGTGCACATTTAAGCTGATGGCCAAACAGTGGATTTCAGATTACTTATTTATACTTGGCAAAACATGGGAAGGTATGGGCTAAGTTAGAGCCGGGTTTTGGATTAACCACAAATGCCTCGCTTGGTTAGAGTGTGCGTACACTCAAAAAAACATGTTTCAGAAAGTACTTTATATGGTTATTAAATGCGAAGAATTTCTTAGCGAACTTCGGCGACTTTAAGCGTATCTATCTATGTATCTATCTAGCCGCTTACGTTCAAGTGCTTTCGTGGGCACCCTCTTAACTTGGCGTGAACGAAAATTAGCATGAGAGGGTAGGATGGTTTGACGAATATGACGCGCTGATCAAGGCATGTATACTGTCACAATCTCGTCGTGTGCGTCGTTAAACACTTCCTGCCAAACAGTGGCACATACCCATGGGCGGGTATGTGCCGCTGGTATGCGGGTATGTGCCACAGGTGATGGACACTTAGTATCTACGCAGGAATGACGAGAACACACATGGGCGATTTTAACGTGTGAGCGTTAAGAAATACCCAGCATCGGTGGCGTCGACGCGACGAATGCAAAGAATAAATGTCAGGGTCCCAGCTGGAATCGAACCCAAGCATTCTACGTGGCAATGAGGCATTTTATCACAGAGCTAAGCCAGGTCTCAGAACTATATTTCAAATAGACGCTTATCTTCGTAAAACGTCAATAGTGGTTGCAGTGCTGCCTACCCAGTTTTATAAAGATTACATATGTACTCCTTTAATACAGCCGTCACATCTGGTTAACGTGTATTGTGGTTAGATGCCATGCGCTCAAGTTTATTTATGTAGCAGTGTCCAGGACCAGAATCTTCACGAGTATCAGCGCTTCATATAATCGTACGGTGTTCTAATACGCATGTGCCAGTTGACATCGTTGCGCAACTGCAGACAGCTGGTTATATCCGCATTTGAAATTCTTTAACATATGTCTGTGCGTGCAAAATTTGTATGTATATTTAACGTCATTTCATTACGTTTCGCTCAATAAAAAATTGCAACATTCACCGTCCCTCCGCATGCTTCGCGTAACGTTGATTTGCAGGTACGTGGGATCTGCCAAATTTTTTTTTGCGATTACACTTTACTGCAAAATGAATTTTATAGTACGCACATCTCTTGCACTTGAGCAGTGCCGCGATCCCTTTCTGGCCAGCTGATTGCCTTACTCACCATTCGTTTGCAATGTCTTTAAACGTGACTGGTGGTATTTTTACTACTGTATTCCCCCATCGCACCATTTCGCATATAAAACGAAAAGCTAAATGATCGTATCATTCAAGCGGACACCAGACTACATTAAGTACGACTTCATTACCCACAAGACGCCCTCCGTTAGAGGTCCCACTGACTCTCTGTATTTAGCTCAAATTGATTGAGACTTCTTGAGTACTACATGGCTCTTTTTTTCTTACCCCCGCTTGAAACGCATTACTTCTGATTATTTTCTTGGTTTGACAATATTGCTTCGAGGGTAGATGTGTTGTTTACTAATCGCTTGGACGAGCTACCAAGGGGTGAAATAATTTTAATTTATAGTGAATTTCCGAGTTTGGTTTGAAAAGAAACAGAAATCCTCAACTCCTGTCATGCACTTCGAAGAGGTTAAAAAAAAGAAACAAATTGTTTCCGTCGTTACTTTTCAACCTAGATAGAGGTATTTGAGAAGGGAACACTAAAATGACGCAACCACTGTAAGCTACGAACCACATTCCAGCGCTGCCAGGCAGTATACTTTATGCACTAGATTATTTTTAAGAAATTCAATGAATGATTTGGCAGGTTACACTTGTTCTCCAGGCTTCAGCAATCAAAATAGTGGCACTATTTTTCATAGTACACGAACAAATATTCGAAGGATCGATAAGTGACATGTGTGTAAGCGACAAAATAGAAATGACGCGTCATTAAAATCAGGACAGAAAAATGAAGTGCAGTGAGCAGAAAAAAAAAAAACCATTACCCTGTGCGTGGTGAGGTAGATGCGTCCTTTCTTGGCTCCCTGGAACTTCTTTGCAGCTGGGCCTTCGAACGTCACTTCCACATCATCAGAGTAAAGCAAGATTCTGGCGGTTTGGAAGGAATGACGAAAGTACCAGGTATTTCAATTTCACCGCTTTTTGTGACAACATCGATAGAGATTTTCGGTTGTACGATGACTGGCATATCTAAGTCAGTGCTGTCTTTTCCTAACTACACTCAACGCATTACTCCTTTGCATCACTGCTTGCATGCCACAACTACAAATTTTTATGCGACGCTCATCAGCTAATGTTGAAACGCTGGAATGAATAGAGCTACAGAGCACTATAATATCATTTGGAAAATAAGCAGGCCTCACGTGAACAAGCGCAATTGTTATTCATTGTAGGTATTCTTACGTGGTTCAGCATCTTCAAGTCGACCATACTTGTTCACACAGAACGGAAGGCGAAAAACGTCAGTGAATTGTAATAGAAGGTTTTACGCACCGAAACGACGATATTATCTCGAGTCACGCGATTTGAGAAATGCTGAACTGACACTGAATACGTGAACTTCCTCAACAAACATTTAAAGTCTTAGGCACTCCTAATTATAATTATTCGAGTTTAACGTCACAAAACCACGATATGATTATCAGAGGCGCCGCAATTGAGAGCTCCGAAACTTTCTACAACCGGGGATTCTTTACCGTGCACCTAAGAGTAAGCACACGGACCTCAACCATTTTTGCCTGCATCCAAAATGGGTCCGCCGCGGCCCGGATTCGATCCCGAAACCCGCGGGTCCGAAGCCGAGTGCCTTAGCCACTAGAACACCGTGGCGGGAGCCTAGGTGCTTTTGCATTTCACTTTGATCACAATTTGGTCGCGGTGTCCGTCAGTCAAACCAACGTCATAGAATCAGTTGCTGGAGGAGTTGGTGCATTGTTGAGTCTGTGTACTTGTCTCCGGTGTCTCGTATTTTTTGTTCTCTATACTTTCATTTTGATACCCACGTCCTTGCATTCAGCAGTGTAACATCATAGGTGACAAGTAGTGCACGACATCACATCATATAAGTGCCACCGCACATCACGCCCTCTCCACACATATCTTGTCGCACTGCCGCACCACTACGTACCAGGATCACTACACATAATGTCCCCTTTTTTAGACGAGCAAAAAAAAAAAAAGACTGAAATGGCCTTCCTCACGTCATTTCTACCATCATAAGCCCATCCGAACAAACGAAAAAATCAGCCAAGTATTATTTTTCTTAAACGCTACCTCTTGTGTAGTACACCTAAAGGGGCTATTTAAGTAAACAGAGTGATGTGAGACGTGATTAGCCGTGGCGGGGAGGGGGGGCATAAAAAGTGAACGCCGATCCAGTCTGTTTCATACTTGCCTTTATCACGTAAATCTGATGAACGAGGATGTACTTACAGCTCACCAGTGAAAACAAGTACTCCACCAGGTGCATGGGAGGTGTTTAAAGACATCTTGACATCACCTCTGCGCCGCCCCTTTTTCGAAACAATTTGGTCTATCTACGCGTGTTCATTACTGTTGTGTTGTCAAGGAACCAGCAGTATGGCTCATACCCACCACCAGCGACTCGTCGGCCATATCACACGCAATATAAGCATTACGTACAATTGGGCGGAAATTTTCGTCAGTGCGTTCTACCATTTTCACCATTTGTGAGTCGGCTTCGGCAGTGACATGTGTACCGCATCACAATTGGTGAAATGTTCTCATACGAAGACATTCAGCGTCAGACAGTTTTGTGAGTAGGGACCCAGGAAAACATCTTTTAAAAGATTGCACGAGTGAAATTTTGTTAAGCATTTTATAAATAGGAAAACATAACGCATCCCTCGTCATAAACAGAGTGAAGTACATGGGCACGTATTGCATTGAATATTTACAAAGTGACATAATGAAAGTAATGCCGTTGAGTCAACATAAAAGGTAAAATGAAATGGCCCAGAGCTAGGGCAGTGAAGGTGGAGGTGAACACTTGAGGCCGGATTAATAAAACTTCTTGGTAGACGAAGAATTAGAAAAGTGCTTAACAGCGCGAACGACAGGAGGGGATAAAAGAGGCGAGACCTCTTCTGTAGTTTGCGCTGTTAAGCGCTTCTCCTAACCAGTTCAATCAAGCACTTCGTTAAAACTTCCCTTTCGTCTGTGCGTCTTGCCACTGGTCAGCTGGCTTCGCTAGTGATATGTTTCGCATCAAGATTAGCTGAAATATTCTCCAGGTAAAATTTTTTTGCGAAATACGTTTTTACGAGGGCTGGCCCTGAACTCCTAATAATGCGTTTCGAGAGCCTCTTGTGCAGAAATTAGGTTACAATGCGCACTTGTCCGGTAAGATGACCGCACCTATTGAGTAGAAGCCGTATGTGTTCATGACTGCTATAAGCCATATAGGTGACGAGAAATTTCTTTCGTTCAGTAGGCCCGTGCTTAATTTACAGTGATCCAAGCTTACGCAATTACCGTCTACCGTACGTCGCTGCGGTGACTGCGTTGTCAATCACATCGATTTCACAAACAAGCACCCGATCACGAACAGCTGATGCGACGCTCTTACGTGCACGTTTCATTCTTTCGCTTACTCCAGCAAGTGCCCATGACCAGTTCTTGGAGTTAATTAGGTGTTGCACAATGAACAGGCAGAAAGAAAGATATAGAAAAAATAAACAGTTCAGAATTGGGTATAGAAGATCTGCAAAAGGGAAGGTGCATTCAGGCTTATGCACGTTCAATTCATCACCGGACGGACGGTGGACAAGATACTTACCTTTTTTATTACGTTTAGATGTATAAGCAGATTACTATGGCTATGTTGAAGCCTAATATGATGCGATAGCCATTTCAAGTGCGCAGGATTATATTTCATTACAGTACCGTCCTATTCAACGTTTTCCTTGAGATCAATAGTAAGAGAAACAGGTCATTTTGGTAATTTGCATTTTCACCAAGTGGTCACACTGATACAAAAATGTGCGCTCACAGACTTCTTATAAAAATTGCCAGGTTTCTTTATTTTGTCCAAAACAGTTTATTTGTTGTTTTTTAGTGCGATAAAATACAAATGTATTAATTTATTATCTATGAAGTGAGCTTAGATACAGACATTTAGAAAAATTGGTTCACACTTACTCAGAGGTAATCGTTCAGAAATCGGGTAGTTCCTAAACAATGTAGTTTATGTAAAAACAATGATTTTTCTACCGCACTGTTGTTGTGGCCGAAGGTTCCCGTTTGTCGTAGAAAGTTATCATTATCAAGAGCAGACAAGCGCTGTGTTCGCTTTGCTTCGTTGCTTTCCCTTTCTACCTCTTCTGCTTCACTGCCAGAACACTTGCAGCAATTTGTCAGGTGTGAGATAAGATAACTCTGATGGGTTATAGAAGGGGTATACGTAGCGAGCGAATAGAGAGAGAACGAAAGACACATTCTTGGCGAAAAAGTTTGTCGTCGAGCCGAGATTCGAATCAGCTTCCCCACGATTCGGAGGTGAACGTCGTAACTACTCGGCTGTACAGAAGCATCAGCGAGTCATAGCATCATCTTGTACAGTATATACGGGAGGAGGGTGAAAAACGGAAGGTGGTAAGGAAGAGATATGTGAGGTTGAGGAGGAGGGGTGTGCGATGAACACACACACACACACGCACGCACACACACACACACACACACACACACACACACACACACACACTCACACACACAGAGAGAGAGAGAGAGAGAGAGAGATGACGTTGACAGTGAAACTCGGCAATATGGTAACGCTGTCCCCTATTTACTTACGCGTAGACGCACAGGTTTAATTAAATTTCGCCAAGTGGTACATTTACAGCTGCTGGTACACGTAACCACATCCACCAGGCACAATGGCAGAATCGAGGTCGTCGCTGCCCCTAGTTCGCGCTCAATAGCAAGGAAGATGCAATCGGAGGTCGCTTAGAATAACCTCAAATTGCAAAGAAGCCTACTGGTTATCAAATATAGGCTTCAAATGTGCAAGGCGACATTCAAAAATTCGTTTACGTGTCAGTAAATATTGCAAACTAGACAAGCACGTAAAACAAAAAATGTTTTTTTTTGTCATCTTATCCCGTGCATCTTTCGATGCGATTTCCGTGAGGGAAATACATTCCTGAAGTCTTGTTGAACCCCGGCATAGAACACTTTCGTGTGAAAAAGAGGTAGAAGAAAACAGACAAGGCAGAAAGCTAAACTGCTGTATCTCATTAAAACACACAAGAACGATGCATCTGATGCCTTAACATCATAATCTTTATTTGATAACCACACGCGCTACTCCTCTTCTTTTCTATATACAACAAAGAAAAAGAATGAAGGAAATAAAGTGGAAGAAATATAAAGAGAGAAAACGAAAGGAAAAAAAAACAAGAAACTTTGTTAGAGCGAAAAAAAGAAATAAAGAAAAGTAAGCATATAAACAATACATATAGAAAGAACCATCAAGAAACGAAAACAAAGTGATGAAGAAAGCAGGAGGAAAGAAAGAAACGTGGAAGACTGCCCGAATCCAGACTTTCTTCGGGCTTGACAGCACTAGTACGAATACTCTTTTTCTTTTCCTTTTTTCTTACGGTGCTATGGTTCTGTCATCTCACAGTACCAGATTCTCATTTGCTTTTTTAATGGCGCAATCGGCCATTGCATGAAGCGCAGACTAGGTGAGAGGCGCAAAGTGCAAGAGGAACTGCTTCAAGGGTCATCGCCGGGCCTTTCCATCACCGCGCTGCATAGACACAGGATCTGGATGGCAGCCATAGATTGACTTATACTGCATGGTCGCCATTACTTGCGCCTTATCTCTAAGAGAAGGTTCAACAGATGGCTCATGGAATTGTACGCATTTTTCTTTTATCCTGACAGTTCGCGTTGAAGTCATAAAGCATGGAGGCTACTTAGCTCGACGCAGCGGCCGCGTTTGCCGAAGGAGTATACTGACAGTTTTTGTTATATTCGTTGCTTCGTATTTGATGCTGCAACTTTTTGGCGAATTCAGTCAGTCAAGAACTTTATTAAAATGGCCGTAAGAGCTCAAGCCACTGGGGTGTCCACGAGGGGCATCCTAGCAGCCGCTACTGTAGGCGACACCCGAGTCGGGGCGGGAACGTAGTGGTGTTCCGCTAGCTTTTGGGCCCTCTGGACTGCTTTTAGTTGGTGTCGGAGCGTGGGGCTCCCGAGTGCCTCTTCCCAGTCGGACTCACTGGTGATAGATCCCTGAGGTAACGTGTGACATTGCCAGAGCATGTGTGCGAGTGAACAATACAAAAAATTGTCACTTTTTCTTTTTTTCATGCCGACAATCGGACATTCATTCACGCGCCGAGCAGCATGACACTTTATATAAGATAACACTTCAACAATAACAACCATACGTTAATATCATGGCTACAATCCAATGTGGCAACGTGAAATGACAAGTCAGATGAGAGAGACAGACAGACAGACAGGCAGACAGACAGGTGGACGGACAGACAGACAGACAGATGGACGGACAGACAGACCGACAGATAAATGGACAGACAGACAGACAGACAGATGGACGGACGGACAGACAGACAGACAGATTGACGGACGGACAGACAGACAGACAGACAGACAGACAGACAGACAGACAGACAGACAGACAGACAGACAGACAGACAGACAGACAGACAGACAGACAGGCAACGGCAACAACGTTTGGTTCACAATGTTTGATTTGACAGACGTTTCATATGACAGAAAACGTTTGACAGACAACTTGTGGTTCATAATGAAATGCTTCACTGTTGGTGTACTATTGCTGAACTTTGTTTCATAGAATTTTGCCCCACTAGCACCAGGTACACATGCTTTTTTTTTCTATCTATTTAGTTCTCTAACATAGTGCTAGACTGAAACCACTTGCTGTAGGCTTTTCTGGGTAGCATGCAAATTCAGGCCCATTAAAGGTTGTAGGCATAGGCTTGGTTTTATTTCGATAAATGTCAACCTAGAGTAATGAAAATAATATACAGAGCTGATGCATCATGTTTACATAAAAGAAACCACAAAAATCTTGTTGAGGTGTAATTTTCTGTCTCGTTTTAAATGCTCTGATGAGAGTATAATTTAAAACAGCTAAGCCTGACAGCGGGAGTGCTGCTAGAATGATAAATTAAACTCCAATGCTCGTTACTTCACTTGTGGCCGTTTAAGGACGTGCTGTGTTGTCACTTATACTTGTTTCTCGACTCCAGTTCTTCTGCAGCTTCCTACGCAGCAGTGAACCATAGTAAGTCATTCTGATTTGGTGAGCACGAGATATATATTTTCATTTTCTGCGACAAAGTTAACTAGTGCGGAAAATAATTGGCTGTAAAGCTGTGCTAGAATCAGAACAAAAGATTTGTGTAGAAACAACAGAAAGGTACTATCTTCTCCTTATATTTTTTTCAACCAAATACTCTGCTGTAGCAAAACCAACAGCGATTATGCAACGAAACACTCTTCAGTTTGTAAATTTGACTGTTGATGAAGAGTTCATGTTCTTGTATAAGCGGTAAATTCTTTTTCCGGAGATTATTTGAGTTCAAGTGCACATTCACAGTATCCTCCCTCTCCTCCCAGAACAAGGGTATAGTCGTCCACCAGACAATGAAAGTCTTTTCTCTCTCTCTTTCTCTCTGTTTACGGTACCCTTGTTTTCACTGCACTTGGGTGAGACGACTTAGCTTTTGCTGCATTTTTTTATATTCAAGTGCACAACTTATTCTTACATCGTTTGTGTAGGCTGAGCTTTCGGATTTCGTGTGTTTTTTCTGACAGCATGAAGGAAATGAGATGACACACAATGTTACAAGAGTTAGCTGTTTAATTACCGAATATAAATGAAAACACGAAATGAGGCATAATAAAATCATACACGCGTACAAATGTGCTCCCTACAGTGGTAGATAACGTCTATGGTGAAGAAGAGGCGCCAATGGGTGTTCACGTGCGCAGCAAACTCATGGGTCTCCGCACGGACTCGCCGATGGCGCGGTGTCTCTTCAGGTGCGGGTTGCTGCTGGGCGTGTGTACGGCGCACAGCTTGATAAAGAGCGCCGTGAGCCCACTGCCCGCCAGGATGGCCAACGCCGTGAGATACCAGTAGTGCTGCGGCAGGTGTACACATTTGCATTGGGAAAGGGTCAGCACTCCCGCCGCGTTTTATTACAATAGCAATTACCTATAAAGATACTCTCGACAGGTTTTGCCGTCTACGTAATTTTTTACCGTCATGCTCCGAATAATATCGAAGTTGATGACATTCCTCCACGCATCATACTTTCTGCCCGCAGGTAAATGAGTGTGTGCCCGCTCGCACGTGGGCATCCTCGCTTGATGGGCACATGTGGTAACATTTCGGCGCGTGTTAGGCTTATCTTCGAATGCTGCTCAAGCAGAGACGGAACGCTCCACCCGTCTTAAACAAGCACGAATGCACGCGAGAAGGAGGGAAGGGTAGTCACTCAAGCAGCAAAACTTCAATGCTAAGGGCGCGGTAAGGATCACTGGCGCGCGTGCCATCTCGGCAGGCATCACCGGGCGGCTAGTACATTCTTCTACGTGCTGCGCTCTCTACGCGAAGAGATTGCGCAAAAAATGTTGCTCTCCCTGGAGCGGTCGTATTCTCGTATACCAGCGTTTGCTAGAGTTGACCGAGATTGGATCTGAAAGAGTTAGCCGCCAGCCTTAACTCGAATAACTTTACGACTGTTGCTATCGCATTCATTGCTTCTCCGTTATGGTGAAAATGTTTTTTTTCTAGGATGGCCTCCATTTGGACTTATTGGGAAATATTCGTGATGAAACAAGTGAAATATGCGCGGAGACTTAGAAAGAAGACAGGGCGGAGCGCTCGCTAGCAAATGAAAATCTTTATTTCGAAAGAATGCAACAAAAATTTTCAGTTGCTAGTAAGCGCCCCATCCTGCCTCTTGCGTACTGCGCTTGTCTCATCATTCATGAGGAGTATCATTTGATCGCCTTGCCAAAAAGCATGCTACCCTTTGCCTACTTTGGCTGCCCCGCAGTTGTTGCACGTACAGTGTGTGCACGAACACCGCACAATTCAGTGGGCTACCTAGAGGCCCACCTGAGTAATAATGAATATGCAAGGTGCTCTTACAAAACAATGCAGCTGCTTTTGCTATATGACGTGACGTCCAGCCCAAATAACCAGAAACTATCTAGCGGCTTCTGTTATGTGCTAGGTTATTCTCTGGTTACAGGTAGGTACTTTGTCGGACCAATTGTTTAAATAAAGGAAAATGAGAGGAAGTAGTACACTGACGCCAAATAGTTGAATTGCTTAGGATAATAAATTAGAACACGATAACTGCAAGTAGTGAATAGGCATGCTGCGGCGTTCAGGTTCAGCACTTTGAACTAGTTAGCGCAAAATGAGATATGACTAACAGGCCTTACTTCCGAGGTGAACATCACATGAAAAAGTAAGTTGGTCTCCCGTATGCGTTCGACAATCATCCGCTCTGGGCATCCATATTGCTCGATATTGATTTTTCTCAGTTATCGCTTCAATTGTATTATTTCCCAAAAAATGCGAAAATCACGCAAACTACAATATTGCAATAGACGAATTTATTACCAGCCCCTGGTTAATTCAGGAAAAAAGTCCGACAGCCTCCAAAAGTAGAAGAGTAGTGTCTGTTCGCTCTCTGCATAATTACATTCCTGTAGTATAAGACACCGTAATATGGCTATAGACTCACCAGGTATAACGCTGATTAGAACAATAAATAGTTAACCTAGTTCGTGGAGACGAAAACTTGGGTAGAATGGGAGAATCGGGGTCCTTTCTGCGAAGAACGTACCGTCGCATTTGAGAATTACGGAAAGCGGCCTCTGGTAATCATTTCGGTGTAATGAAAATAAACCAATGTTCTTATGAAATCCGAAACGAAAGCACCAATGAGCTGAAGCATTAGATGACCACAAAGACATCATGGTCCACGACTACGACTATATGCAGTGATAGTGCTTCTTCTGCGTTCGTTAATGTATGTGATACACGCGTGCTTTTGTCCCAAAGTGAGTCAACATATTAATTGAAGCCGATTGATCGCAAGTTCAAACAGCGACGCTTACTCGCTCTGGGCGTCTAGAAAGAATATAACAATCGCTTTCTTCCGCGTTTCGGTTCCAATTTCGCTTGCCGAGCAGTTGGACTTAATTAATTTGCTCATTTACCAAAGGCCGCCTTTTGGAAATCTCAGAGCAGCAATGAGGTCTTCGCAGTGAGAGCTGCCATTATCCATTTCACCCGGCCACTGGTCTCAATTAATAAAAAAAATTTTATTTGTTATTATCGTCAACTACTGCCATAACTCATGCCTTCCGTCATTTTAAGTGCATAGCAAAAATAATCAGAAAATAGTGAGCAAATATTACACTCCTCTTAATTTTTAGTATTTTAGCACGCGTTTCTTGAAACCGTCCGAATATACGAATGTGAGACGACGACCTAGTTTCACATTGTCTATTGCGTAATAAATAAGGACTCATATTCAAATGGTGTAAGCACTCCACCACGCGCTGCAACAGTGCGAAATGCATGCCGCACTTTTTATCAACAGCAGGCAAGCTCTTACCAAGAGTACGTTGCGCAGGCCGCGTCCTCCAAAAACGAGCCAGTGCAGACGGGAGAGTGGCCCCTCGGCGTCCACCAGGCGGCACCGTTGGAAGACGTCGCAGTAGCCGCGTAGGTCGTCGCACGGTGCGCCTGGCTCCAGTTTCTTGTTGCAGAAGTCCTTCATGCGCTCGAAGTGGCACGCCTCCATGCACACGCTTCCCGACACTGTGCGTGATTGTGAACCGTTGTACAACCCGGTAGAACTCGCTGTTGGGCTAGTTGGTACATGTCGGAATTCCATAGTCATCTTCTAGCCAAAATCACAACCACATTGCACACCACAGCTGAAGACTAGGACCCCAAAAAAGCCCCGCCGCGGTGGTCTAGTGGCTAAGGTACTCGGCTGCTGACCCACAGGGTGCGGGTTCAAATCCCGGCTGCGGCGGCTGCATTTCCGATGGAGGCGGAAATGTTGTAGGCCCGTGTGCTCAGATTTGGGTGCACGTTAAAAAACCCCAGGTGGTCTAAATTTCCTGAGCCCTCCACTACGGCGTCTCTCATAATCATATAGTGGTTTTGGGACGTTAAACCCCACATATCAATCAACTAGGACCCAAAGGGCGTGCGTGCACCCACGTGGGTGTCTTCAGTCATGAAATGAGAAACCTCAACGGAAACCAGCAGATAATGAAGTGAAAGAAGGTATATGAGACGTTAATTATAATGTTTCAAGTCTATAGCAGTAATTGTGATAAAGGTGTGAAGAAAGTGAAGTGGCAGGCACCGAGCCTGCAACCTTCGGATTACGCGCCCACTGCTCTTGCCATTTTGATGTGCGGCGGTAGTCGTCCCTTCGTCTATAGTGGCATTTTATGTGCATGTAAACATGGCAGTGTTATTCAGCGCTTCTCGTAGCCATGACTGCGAATGGGAAACATTTTTTTAAGGGGCGAAGCTCCTTAGGGTCGAGCTATGTTCCCTGTCCGCTGGGGTGACACGCTAGTGCTGGAAGCACACGGTAGAGGGCGGGGTGGGGCCAGCGCTTGCTCAAGGTGCTAGGCTAGAAGGGGACGAAGCTATTGAATAAATAAGAACAAGGGTGACACAAAAGTTTCAACAAAGTGCTTTATGCACCACAATAGACAAGGATGAATCAAGTGGCGCAATGGCTCCATTTTCACAACAAGAGTGGGAAAGGGCTGAGAAAAGGGTTCCTAGTAGTACATCAACAGGCCCAGACGGCATTCCAATTATGCTGATAAAGACATTAGGTCCGAAGTCTAAGCAGGCTTTGAGAGAGGCAGTGAGCAAAATAAAAATCGATGGAGAAGTTCCCGATGAATGTAAACTTAGCAGGATGAGCATGATCTATAAAGGAAAGGGGGACAAAGCTGACATAAACAACTACCGTCCTATAACAGTGACATCAGTGGTCTGCAGGCTGGCGATGCAGATTATAAAGGAAAGACTGCAGGCATGGATAGAGGATGAGGGGGTGCTGGGGGAACTGCAGAATGGGTTTTGGAAACACAGGAGGTTGGAAGACAATCTGTTCACACTGACGCAGTGCATCGAAATAGCAGAAAAGGAACACAGGCCCCTGTGGCTAGCATTTTTGGATATCAAGGAAGCGTACGATAGCGTGGTTCAAGAGGAATTGTGGGGAACACTGGACACACTAGGCGTGGAAGATCTAGTCACTAATCTTTTAAAGGATGTCTATAAAGGTAACAAGCTAATTATAAAGTGGAAAAAACAGGTATCCAAGTCTGCAGAGGTAAAATGGGGGCTTAGGCAGGGGTGTCCCCTGTCACCCTTATTATTCATGATGTATCTACAAGGATTAGAGGCCAAATTAGAGGGAAGTGGTCTGGGCTTCAACCTCTCTTTCGTCAAGCAAGGAAAACTCACTGAACAGGCACTACCAGAATTGATGTACGCAGATGATATAGGGCTAATGGCCGACAACAAGGAAGATTTGCAGAGATTGGTGGACATCTGCGGTGATGAGGGAGATAGGTTAGATTTCATATTCAGTAAAGAAAAATCAGCAGTCAGGATTTTTAATGACAATAAAGGTAGTGAGCTTAGAATACAGGAGGTCACGCTCGAGAAAACAGATAAATACAAATATCTGGGCGTATGGATAAGCAATGGAGACGAGTACCTAAGGGAACGCGAAATATACGTGTCGACTAAAGGGAACAGGAATACAGCGGTAATGAAAAACAGGGCACTGTGGAATTACAATAGGTATGATGTTGTGAGAGGAATATGGAAAGGGGTCATGGTTCCTGGTCTGACGTTAGGCACTGCGGTCTTGTGCATGAGATCAGAAGTTCAAGCAAGATTAGAAATTAAGCAGCGTGGAATAGGTAGGCTTGCCTTAGGAGCTCACGGGAATACACCGAATCAGGGAGTACAAGGTGATATGGGGTGGTCATCATTTAAGGGCAGGGAAGCTAGCAGCAAGATAAAATTTGAGAAGCGATTGAGAGAAATGGGGGAGGAGCGTTGGGCTCGAAAGGTATTCAGCTACTTGCACATGAAGAATGTCGATACAAAATGGAGGAAGCGAACCAGAAAATTGACTGGTAAATACTTGGGCAACAGCAGGGGGCCAAACCAAAAAGAATGATCGGTTAAGAAGAAGGTGAAGGAAGCTGAGACCGATATGTGGAAAATCGGCATGATTAAGAAGTCTGCGCTAGAGATCTATCGAACTTTTAAGCAGGAAATTGCCAAGGAAAGGATCTATGGTAATACTCGGGGTAGTTTGAGGCCAAGACGGGAGTATTGCGAACCAAGACATATCGGGCCAAATACAAAGGGGTAGACACGGTATGCAGTGCATGTGGAAAGGAGGAGGAAACTGCCGAACACTTGATAATGTTCTGTGAAGGGCTTGACCCTATAGTTCAGGATGATGGCGCAGAGTTTTTCAAAGCACTGGGGTTTAGAGACAGGGGGGGGGGGGCAAAATAGACATTAAGCGGGTAGAATTAACTAGAAGGAGGTTATCTGATTGGTGGCTAAAGTCAAGGTACGAGTGAAAATTAAACCCTTCACTGCAAAGTACGAATTATCAACCTCACTATTTAAGGAAAAAAAATAAATATAGTTTTTAGTTCATTAAGTATTACGGCTTGGTGGCGCTAGCCACCGCCCGATCTAAAGGGTACAGCCAAATCCATCCATCCATCCATCCATCCATCCATCCATCCATCCATCCATCCATCCATCCATCCATCCATCCACCCATCCATGCATCCGTCCGTCCGTCCGTCCGTCCGTCCGTCCGTCCGTCCGTCCGTCCGTCCGTCCATCCATCCATCCATCCATCCATCCATCCATCCATCCATCCATCCATCCATCCATCCATCTATCCATCCATCCATCCATCCATCCATCCATTGCTCTTGGTGTGTGCTATGGTTTGAAAGGAGACCGCTAGACGCGCGGCTCTGCCTCTCTCTTTTACGCTAGTACTGGAAGCGCCCGGTAGAGGGCGGGGCGGTGTCAGTGCTCGAGGAAGGAGTGCCTCCTTCAGTCTTCTGGATAATTGCCGCACGTGTCGGATTGTTGGTGGGGCATGGACGAAGTAGCGCGGTGGGTGCGTTGAAGACGCTTGCGCTTGGCTTCCTTGGCTCGCGTCTCGTCGGTGTTACACGCGTGCCGTCTGCATTCTCGAACGCGATCGGACGCATGAACGCATGCCTAGACACATGGAGGCATAAACGTACGGACGCTTCGCCCTAATCGTCATCATTCACTCCATAGATATGCTGTCATTTTTTTCCTTGTCAGATGGTGTCACGTAGTTTGTGATCCATTATAGTTTTAATTTGAGTTGTTTAAAAAATTGTGCCCTAAAATTTACTTTCTACATTGGCGAAGAAAGAAAGACACTCGCACGTTCACATTCAAAGATTCTACAACTAGCAAAAGGTCACTGAATAGACACTGTTGCCAAGGAAAGTACAGGGGTTTTCATTAGTAGTAATCGTAATGAAACCGTGAAGAAAGAAACGTTGACAAAAAATAATTTGACGCCGACAGGGCCCGAACCTGCGACCTTCAAGTCACGCGTCCGGTGCCCTACCACAGAGCTAAGGTAGTGGTCGTTCACCCCCCCCCCCCCCCCCCGGTCCGCTTTATCAACTTGGCTAACAGAGGAAATGAGCTACTAAATTTACACTTTATTCCTTCTTTTAAAAGATCACATAGTGCCATTGCCACAGCAGCAGCAGGCACGTACCGTTCTCTCGGCATGCTATGAGGCACATCTCCTCCGGCGTGCGCTGGGGTCCCGTGAGGTAGCACTCTTCGAGGTCGTAAAGGCTGCAGACGGAGCGCACGCACTCACCACCTTCGCAGGCCTGCGTGCCGTGGTTGCAGAATACGCCGTCACGCTTGTGCGGTGAGGTGGGACACTCGCCGCTCCAACCGCTGAGAGTAAGTCTGTCAAGGTCATTCATGCATCTTGCAGAGGTTTTTTTAAATGCGAACACATTTCTTAGTCGGGCTATGTCAGGCACCCGGTGGCGGCGTCGGTGGCGGTGGCCGCGCGCCGGCAGGTGTTAGGGCCGGTTCCACGCGCTTCCCGCACAGCCGCAACACACGTTCCGGGACTCCTACCGTACGCAAGCAGGGGACAAATAAGCCAATTGGTGACGCTCTTTCACCCTCCGCAGCGTCGCCGAATTGGCTCATTTGTCCCCCGCTTGCGTGCGGTAGGGCGCATAATCTTCGGGGAGGAGGAGGAAGTTTTTGTACGGACCTCCCGGCTTCCTACACTCCCTTCGTGAAGCTTGTGCGCGGAGCGTCAGCCTATGGTACGGGACAAACGAATATTTCCTCTTCCCCTGGTATTACTGCTTCGATACACCGCCGACCGTAATGTGAATGAATGCGTTACTATTATCGTCATTGCTGTTAAATATTTTAAACACCCACGCATTTCATTGTCATATATCATTACATAAAATTATTATTATTATTATTATTATTATTATTATTATTATTATTATTATTATTATTATTATTATTATTATTATTATTATAGTGGTGACCGTAGTGATTTGGTATACAGAAAGCACGAAAGCAAAGTAATGCGACGAAAGGGGCTAGTTACATCATGTTGGCACGGTGATGCGCTAACAGTAGGAAGACGCTACGAAGAACAGACTAGAAGCACATGAGAGTTTGACAGAACGAGCACATCGTTTTGCGCTCGTTCTGTTAAGCAGTGTTCGATGTTCTTCGTATTCTCTTTTTCGTGGTGTCTCCCTACCTTAAGTGTATCCCCTGTTGTGCCACAGACATGTTCCTCGTTCGGGAGCACGTCTCACAAGATCGAGCCCTGTTTCGACGAACTGTCTCCCCCCCCCCCCTCCCAGCGCCGCCTTCTGTGCAGGAGAACCGTGCAGTCCGGGGATAACGTCGTTTCCTCCGCCGAACCACTTTGCAGTTCCGGGTATGGCTACGTCTCCCCCTCCGAGCCCGAGAACTGGTCTGAGAGAATGGACCAAAGACGCTATTTAAGGCCGAGCCAGCCCCATGTTAGGATTTTGCTCCAGCCTACGTTGTCGTGCTGGCCGGTCCTGTACAAACGACAACCTGCTACAGTAAACGCTCCTTTTGTTGCTGTTTTCCAAACGGATTGCCTCCCTGTTTCACCTTCGGGCTAAGGCTTCATCGAAGTCCGCTCGACGGCTCGCCGCTCTTCGCCACCGCAATCATCGCGACAGAGCAAATTCATAACAGTGGTGGCAGCGGTGGGATACGATATCCTACGTTTGGCACGCCGGATCAGACTCATGTTCTCATCGTTCGGCAAGCTGGGACAAGAAACCCCGGATCTCAACATTGACAAGTTGGTCTGGATCCCTGAAGGCCTGATACTGTTCGACGGCAGCCACGAGTTGGACCATCGTCGGCTACTTTGGTTGGGTGAGTGCCCAACGTTTACTGTTCATTTCGCCAGACCTCTCGAGCACAGGCAGATGTTAGGAGAGCGTTTTGTGTTTTGTTGGTTGTAATTTATTATTCACGTGCTCTAAACCACGAGATTAGCTTTAGAGTACGGTGAATATCAGTAGTAGAGCATCACGAGGGACGAGATCGCAATGGAGCAGTACCTGGTGTAGGACCTCCTCGAAATTTGTCGAGCCATGGGGATTTCCACCGGGTCCTCTAAAACAAGGGAAGCGATTCTCGAGGTGATGCGGACAGAGAATGTGACGGCCGAGGAAGCTGACGAGTTTTGGGAGCTCATCTGTGAGGAAAAGTAGAAGGCCGAGAAAAACCGCGAAGAGCTCGAAGCTCAAAGGCACGAACAGCAGAAGGCCGAAGAGCGAGCAGCTAGAAGTCACGAACAGTGGCAAGCCGAGGAGAGCAGAAAAAGGACAGAGCATGCTCTCAAAATGAGAGAGCTCGATCTTAAAATTCAAGCACTTAAATGGGATCGAGCTAAACACCAGCTCCACAACTTTCAGACAGGCGAGAACATCGCGCATTTTCTCGAGGATTTTGAAGTTGTCTGCTGTGATGTTGGTGTTAGCCGTGACCTTTGGGTGGAGAAGCTCGCCACGTTGTTGCCGCGCAAGATCGCGCATGTATTGAATTGTTTGCCCTCCGAGGAAGCAGGAGATTTTGGTCAGGCTAGATATGCTTTGATTAAATATTTTTTCATTTAAAGTCCTGCTGGAAGTCAGAGCGATAGTAACAGCGCTGAAGCAGGTGGTAAGGCGCTAAAGGTAGACGCCCGCCGAAAAGAGCGAGAGGACGAGGCGCGTCGTAAAGCGCTGGAGGACGACGCGCGCAGTAAAGCGATGGAGGCCCGTCGCGCAGCGCTTCAGGATGAGGAAAGTCGCGAGGCATCTGACGTTGAGGCCCGCCACAAGGTGCAAGACACCGAAGTGCGTCAGAGAGATCCGGGCACTGAGGAGCCTCACAAAGAGTTAGGGGCCGAGGCCCATCGCATAGCTAAGGACGCCGAGGTACATCGGGAAGCACTGGAGATGGAGCCGCTTCGCAGCGCACGCGATCAGGATGAATCGCGTCAAAAAGAGCATGAGGCCAATTTTGAAGGCCAGAGAATTAGGGCTATCCACGACAGCGATAGACCCTCACAGATCAAAAGCTCTCTAGGCGCGTTGGTTGGCTTTGATGGCATCGGGAATCCCGTTCTGTCGCAAGCAGAGACAGCTAGCAACGGGCCCGAAGAAATGCTAGCTAACCAGTCGAGAGTCTTGGCAGTGCCTGTCAAAGGCAGCGCACTTGAAATTAGGTGTGTCGAAGCGGGCCGCATTCCTAGCCTTTCCGTCAAAAGGAGGCATCGGCGAAAGCATAACACCAAAAAGACGACAGGCGCCAAGTGCGCTAAAGCCGCTATTAAGGTCCATGACGTCATCAGTCGAGACGCCAGTTTGAGGGCTAGGCGTAGGATCACGAAAGGGCCCTCTAAGAAACGTTTGAAGCTCAGACTGTCACTGAGTTCAAGATTAGGCGGGAAGCGCGCTGAGAAAAACCGACTTTCGGGAAAATTCAGACAACGAGATCTTCGCCTGGCCTCATCAATGCTGATGCCACGTAGATGCAAGCACGTGGTGAAACGTTGGGAGCGCTTGAGCGGTAACACGAGCGGTTGTTCCCCACCGTGGCGAAAAGGTCGCTGGTCGAAGGGGTGGCGTAAACGATGCAGTGCAGACACCCCCTTGTTCGAGTTAAGCGGATGCAAGTCAAAAGTTGCTGCTACCGAGTTCGGCAAACAGCTTTGTTCGTTGCGCCTTTGTCAAGACCGGATCCCTCGAAGGCTATGGAGTGCACGACTCCCCAGAGTTTGTCTGAGAGGGGCCCCGTCTTGCCATTACTATGAATGGACAATGTAATCAGCTTTGAAAATTGTTTTTCTAGTTTGTCGTAAGCCATGCAGTAATAAATGTGTTTGAAATTTTGTGTTCTACTTTCCTTCTCATTGGAGAAGCACGCATTGGTATGTTTGTTTCATTATTTTGTTTTCCTTATATCTCGAAAAGTAACAGTTAATGTGCCTTATTTTGACAGATAAGGCTAAGTAAAAGCCCCTGTTTAAAATACCCTTTGTGTTTGAAATTAGATGTTATTGTGCTCGTCAGTGTAGGTCAACTTTGTCCTTTGTTTTGTTTAACGCGCGCAAGTTTGATTTTCATTGTTATTCCCTTACTTTTTCAAGCGCGTTTTATTTTGTTGGGATGCTCATTGGCTGAGCACTTTGAGTTAGGGCTTATCGAATGGCTTTGTTTTGTTTAGCGGTTTGAAGCTTGCAAGAGACGCCAATGTGCGTAATTCGGGTGTTCTTGGTATTCTAAATTGTAGATTCGGGGCCAAATTGAGTTAACCTCGGCAGCTTCGATCGTCCCTAATCTGCCCGGGTCACAATCGAGAATCGCTCACGAAAAAAAAAATTCTGTTTGGTTTAGCAGTGTCATGCACTGTAAAGGAGTGTCCACATTATGTATTGCTCCTCAGATACATTGCTCGTGATGCTATTTTTTTAGCTCAGTTAAATCTCGAGGAAATATTTTCGTTTCTGCTGGTCTGGCGATTTGATCAGCATTTGGAGGGTGCTTGCTTTGGCCGGAGTGGTTCGCCTTTGGGTTCGACTCCGTCGTTCCAGTGAACCTCTGCAGGCCTATGGAAGTCTCAACGGGCGGAGAGAGCGGAACGGCTACCGGTGGTCAACCAGCATCGCTCCTTCCGAGCCGCGCTGACGGCTCAAAATTCCGGATGCATTGTCTGGCGGCGGGGGTGCTGTTGTGCCACAGACATCTTCCTCGTTCGGGAGCACGTCTCTCAAGATCGAGCCCTGTTTCGAAAAACTGTCTCCCCCCCTCCCAGCGCCGCCTTCTGTGCAGGAGAACCGTGCAGTCCGGGGATAACGTCGTTTCCTCCGCCGAACCACTTTGCAGTTCCGGGTATGGCTTCGTCTCCCCCTCCGAGCCCGAGAACTGGTCTGAGAGAATGGACCAAAGACGCTATTTAAGGCCGAGCCGGCCCCATGTTAGGATTTTGCCCCAGCCGACGTTGTCGTGCTGGCCGGCCCTGTACAAACGACAACCTGCTACAATGAACGCTCCTTTTGTTGCTGTTTTCCAAACGAATTGCCTCCCTGTTTCACCTTCGGGCTAAGGCTTCATCGAAGTCCGCTCGACGGCTCGCCGCTCTTCGCCACCGCTACCATCGCGACACAGCAAATTCATAGCACCCCAAGCTAATTGAACTGACAGACGAAATGGGGAGGGATAAAGCTGGGAACTACCACCTAAAGAAGCCCAACACCTGCCTCTTCTTTCGGAATAGGAAACAGGGGTAAATAAGATAGCGGGAAGAAGATAGGCGAAAGATAAATGAAAAAAAAATTAACACAGACGTCACGACAAATGAGTAGTAACATTGCAAAATGTGCACGAACGCGAGGCAAAATCGGTTTTCTCAAAGACAGTTAGTAAGCCTTCGGTGGGCCTCATCACGCCGATTCTCCCGAAAACAGGCAATCAAAAAGGGCCGCACACTTAAGTACCTAAGTCCGCTTACCTTGAGCCAAGCTTACTGCATAAAGATTGTGGCATACTAAAATTATGCGTTGATTATGACGAATCTTTATAATGGTGTTGAATTATGATTACCTTAATTGACATCCCCTTTAAGACACGGCGGCTGCTGTGACGGCAAGTTGCCACAGCCGCCATTTCTTTTCCTTTTAACGTAAGGTAAAGGAAACATGTTATATATACACTCTAACCGTCTCCACGAAACACAAAGTCTTTTTTTCTGCACGCGAGCCTTCGTTCGCAGTTGTTCCCTCCATATTTTTTCTGTTTCTTTCGCTGGTACTTTTAAACGTCTCTTCCTTATCTCAACCACTGAAAAGTTGACACTGACATCTGCTTCACATACCTAGCCTCTCATTGATGACTGCCTAACACTGGTCTTGTTAGTAAAAAACAATGGGTAGCTTCCGTGTTGAGTAGCTTCCAGAATTTTGTTTCAACGGTGACATGCCTCATCCTGCTCAAAATATTTGCCCTGGAATGTTTTTGTAAGCTCGCGCTTCAAACAAGCAAACCTTTTTTGTATTAAATTCTATGTCCCGTGTACGCCCTCCGGCGATGTAAAGGATACTCGCAGTAGGATTCGAATCGGCAGTCGTCGTCTTGTCTGCACAGCCACGACGCGTTGTAAAACAGACAGGTGTCGCTGCAGCAGGCGCTGTTGGATGGACTACGAACGAGAAAATTGATTCAGCACATCGCGCCTCTCCTAACGGCAACAAGTAACATTTACCGTTAAACTTCGTTAGTCCCTGGTTTAAGTAACATAAACATACCAGTAAAAACAATGACGTGGCGCCCTTTTATCGCGGTGCTCTCAGACATGCTCTCAGGAACTATATATATATATATATATATATATATATATATATGTATATATATATATATATATATATATATATATATATATATATATATATATATATATATATATATATATATATATATATATATATATATATATATATACATATATATATATATATATATATATATATATATATATATATATGTATATATTCAATTTTATTGACTGTAGTGTATATACCCGGAGAGAGGTTAGAAATCCATCAGGTTCTTTTACGCACAGGTCGCCTATTGAGAAACGTGCTGGGAGCAGTGTTTAGGAAAAAAAAAATTAGGTCTAAAATAACAAACACAGGAAACAAAAAAGGAGACGTGAAAGCGCTAGTGTTTCGTCCCTCCCATGCTTTTTGTTCTACCTACATAATAAAGATGTTTGTCTCTCCTCGCCAAGCTCATTGGGTGGATATAGGGTGCTTCTGGCATGCCTGTGTCTCGATCTTCTGACGTTATGATCTCTCGAATACGAATACCCAAATTCAACACGTGATCCACAGAATATGCGAGGCGTCTTAGATCATGCAGGGGGTGTCGGCCGGTTTTGATTTTTTTCCATAGACGTTTGCTTTCACGCTATTGCCAGGGGCTAAACGGAGTGACTTCGACGCTATGTATCATATAGTTAGGACGAAATCATTATTCTCATTTCCCTTTCCTCGCGCGCTATGGTTGACCCTTTTTCATTTATAGAACCCATAAAACAGAATAGAAATATGCTTTTATAGAAGTAGTTCCAGCTCAGCTGGAAGTGTTGCCAGCTATTCGGCTCGCATCCAAACGCCTTTGACGGGGCACTCGAGTGTTACACCGTCCCTATTCCGACGATTGATTGTCATTTTTATGTTGCTCCACACACTTCTTTTTCTGTACATTTTAAATTACATCCCATAAGGGTGCACAGGGATGCCTTTTATGGGGCGTAGGGTGAAGGTTCGTCGCAGCACCCCCGCCCCCTCACTCTATACTAGGTCAATGTATGAACAACCTTTGCGCCCCCGCCCTCCTCCTAGGAGACCAGGAACGGGGGGCACGCATTCTTCGCTGCAGTTTGAGCTTCCCTTCCCGGACACCAAATTCGACCAAATAAAGAGTTTCACTTTACACAAACTGACTGCTGCCTTCGTCAACGTCACGACCCCGTGACAATATCAACATCGCGTTAGACTAGCTGATGTAGTGGGACACAGCGGACGGTAAATGGCGCAACGACTGTACTCATTTCGAATCGTATACGAATGAAACGGAAGGAAGTGTCCTTGAGTCACTTCACGAAGGTTTGAGGAACGCAATCAGTGGTCAAATAAAATCTGGTTGGTTCCTGCAGCGACTTGCTGGTGAGCAGCTTCACCGAAGGTACGTGCATTTTGGTCATGCAAGTTCAAGAATGGTAGTTTCATCCTCGCACCTGCATTTGGCATCCGGTCGAAGCGTGCAACCTTTGCGGTTGAGCTGGCCATGCTCGCGTGGATAGCAGCACATCTCGCGACACTCGTTCCAGTCGTAGCCGCAGTCGCATTCTTCATCCTCCTCCCGTATAGAGTTGCCGCAGAACGGGCCTCGGACACCTGCGCGAGAAGGCGAGGAAAGGCTGTAGCCTCATAATAACGCGATCAGCGTCATCGTTTCGAGCGACGGCACGCTGCCATAGGGAATGCAGTCTGGGTGTCCATTATGTGGACAGTACGACGTTAGAACAGCAATTAGGACAAGGCAACTTGCAGTTTAAGTCACTCAAAATATAGACGCAACGCTGATGGACATGACCACGACAATAGATAAAATCATGACCAGGTGGTGCCTGGTAATCGTATTGAGGTCGCGAAGGAAAAGTACAGTTCTACAAGTCCCTAAGTGCGCAGTGCTGACCACTAGCGGCGCGACTATAGTGAAGGTAAACATAAGAGAGATACCAAGCATATAGAAACGCCAATGACACCAACAGATTAGTTTGTATGATAAAGTCAATAATAGGCCAATTCGGAAGCACAGGATGAATTCGACTGAAGTGAAACGAGGGTAATTGAAAAAACGCTTGAGTATGATTTTGCCGTTACTCATACTGTGCACATTAAATAGGATGACACCTATGGCTATGGATGGAGCCCAAACCGAAGAATAATGAATAATTAAAGTAATACGTGCAGACACATACGCCAGAAAAACATACGACGCAATATTGATGTATATAAGCTAAAAAATAGCACTACAGATGAGAAGATGGAAAGCACGCTAACAATGGCCCGTACTAACGTTCTTCGCTTACTCCTGGTGCAGTTTCTCAGACTCTAGAGTTTGCAGCTACTGGAGCCGTCCGACCTCTGTATCCCGTTTCCAGCATCTGATGTCAGGCCATGGCCGGATGCGACAACTCTGATACCCGAGCACCATCCGACGGCATTATTTTGACCCTCAAATCAACATCTCCTCGAGCATCCCAATCTATGCACTTCATGCCCTGTCGACGACCGCATCATCAAGCATCGTGGCTTTCAGTCGGCCACTTGAGCACAGGAACCACCCTTGAACCATTGCACGCAGGCTTGGGATTTGGTTAAAAAGCAAGCTTGGAACAACGCGCCGTTCAGTGGGCCTGGTAGCACAATAGCGGTGACCCATGCTAACGTTCCTCGCATCCTCTTGGTGAAGGTAATGAACTCTTATTGATTTTATGCAAAACCTACTAGTCAGTGAGCACTCTTGGTACTGGCGGGCAAGCGGCGTTTTTGCTCCATCGTGAGTGATTGTTCTCATATATCACTAAGCCTTGTCTTATATACTGGCGGGTGATGTTGAATCTGATCCCGGCTCCGACAAAAAACTCTGAAAGTGTTGAATGAAATGATCTAGGCAGACGGGGATATTAGCGCAACAAAGTCGATCAAAAAGCAGTTGGCTGCTCATGATAAAACTTTCAGTGAAATTAAAGTCCGACTTGACAAAATCGAGACAGCCTGTGCTAGTATCGATGAGATGTAGACTGAATTGGGAAAAAGTGAATGAGACATGTACCGAAAATGCACTGCAATATGAATGCACTGCCTAACCAAATAAATCATGCTGAAAATAGATCTAGAAGAGATAGCGTTGTTTTCTATGGCGTGCCAAATAAACCTAAAAAAAATATGGCTTGATTCCGAAAAAAAAAAGTCATCTAACATCGCGAACAAATATGAGACACACAGGTAAAGCCACGTGATATTGAGCCTGCACATCGCATCGGGTTTTGCCAAACTGAAAAAGGCAGGTCACCAATCGTGAAATTCGCCCACTATAAAGAGCCCATCTTATCTTCGGGGCGGAAATTGAAAGGAACTGGCTATGCCGTCGCGCAGAACCTCTCCCCCAGCACGCGCCTCGTCCACAGACGCCTCAACAAGCTTGGAGGGGCCCGAAACTTGCGATACAGGTTACGGCACGAAAAGATAATCTCGAATGAAAAAAAAAAAACGTAATACTACGACCACTTTTTTTATTGCGTCGTTGAAGAACACCAACAGCCAATATTTAGATCTGGTAATAAACCTTCTTCATGAAATAGTCACCTCTCATTTTTTACTAGCTAACACTCGTAGTGTGATCCCTAAACGCGATGCACTGTGCAGTTTAATAGGTTTATCTTGATGCGATGTCTTTCTATTCACGTAATTATGGCTTAACGCATCTGTCGATAATTCCGAGATTCTTCCCTTTCTTTCACAATTTGACATATTACGGAAAAATAGAGCAGATAACTCGCGTGGTGGCGGTGTATTAATCGCTACTAAGCCGAATTTACATTGTACATTTGTAAACCTTCCTTCACCAATAGAAATGGTTTGGCTTCGATTCATAGCCACACACCCTCACCCTCATTGGTATTTGCTATCGGTTTCCTAGTTACGACAGTTCATTCGCGCCTTTACTTCATGAAAGTACATACATTGATAAACAAGTATCCCAATGGCCCCCTGCTTTTATTCTGAGATTTTCATTTTTCCACCATTGACTCGTCTGATCCAGCTTCTTCATTATTTAACAGCAGCCCGGCAAGCAATTTTCTAAACACGTGCATGGAATTCGGCTAAACGCAACTCGCCACTGAATCCACGCGCATCGCTGATCCCTGTTTCAACGTTTTGAAGCTTGCGTTAACAATGCAGCCTGAAAACATGACGCCAAGCACCCTATTGCACGGCTTCAGCGATCACCAAACAGTGCACACCTCATTTTATTGTAACGTATAAATGAAACAAAAAAATCGAAAAAACACTTAGCCTTCACGATAAAGGAGCCTAAGTTAGCATAAACCGGGAATTAACAGAATACTTTGACATTTTTGCCGCTAACTTTTCACTAAGTTCTCTCGAGTCGAATAGGTTGCTTTTCAAAACAGAGATTCATCGTATTTGACGTATTTATATCCCGACCATTACAATTACAGAAAAAAATATTTCTCTGTGGTTCAATGCATCCCTGAAATGGCAAATAATAACAAAGTGTCCATTTCGAGCTGCCAAACGAGTTAACTTTGCGTGTACATGGCAGAAGTATTACGCAGTGGAGGAAGAATGTTTTAAGCTAATCATCGAAACTAAGCGTAAGTTTTTTCTCAATCACAATGCAAGCAATGTTGCAAACTAACCCCGAGCGATTTTGGAAAACAATTGGGCCCTCTCCTGCTAATAAAATTTCACTAAGTGACAGCTCAAGACTTCCTATTTCTGAGCATGAAGTTGCTGATTGCCTTAACACAGTATTTAGCACTGTTTTTACTGATGAGCCACCCGACAGTTTACCCGATCTTTCATTTTTCTCGTATTCGATGATGCAAAACATCACATAAATTTATACGGCATTGTCAAAGTCATTGAATAACTGGTCGTTCACAGCAGTAGACGGTATCAACGGTAAAATGCTTAAAGATACTTAACACGTGTGAAGCCTGTTTTTGTCACTCGTATTTCATAAATCACTCGACAGGGGTACAGTTCCTCATGACTCGTAGGTGGGCTAGGTCATCCCGGTCTTCAGGAAAGGAAACAGAACATGGCCGAGTTACTACCGTTCCATTTACATAACAAGCGTCATTTGTAAAATAATGGAGCGTATCATACACTCTCGCACTGCCATTTCTTAACATCAGTCAATTTCTTTCACCCAAGTCAGCATAGTTTTCGCAAAAAGTATTCCTGTGACACTCAACTTGCTCTTTTTTTGCATGATTTAAACATAAAACTAGGGCATAACATTCCGACTGACACAATATTCTTAGATTTTGAAAATGCAATAGATAAGGTTCCCCATGGTCATCTTTTATTAAAACTGTCCCGTCTTGACATCCACCACTGTGTTCTAAACTGGATTCGAGGTTTTTTAACCAACCGTCAGTGATTCGTTCATGCCAACTCATACCCCTTCATCTCTAACATTCGTTCTTCCAGGTGTACCGCAATGATATCGTAGTTGGACCCATCTTCTTCTTAATATACATTAATGACCTTGCTTCAAACATTTCTTCGCACATTCATTTATTCAGCAATGATTGTGTTGTCTGTCGCGCAATTACTAACCCATCCGATCATTCCATATTACAATGTGATCTCACCCGCACACAAAACGGGTGTAAATGTAGGCTCATGTCTTCGAATGTTTATAAAACCATGGTAATGTCTATCCATCGTCTTCACCATCACGCAGTTTATAATTACAATGTCAATAAAAGCCAGTTTTTTACATTTGATTTGTTTAAATACCTTGTTGTGAACATCTCACGTGACCTAACTTAGACCTGTCATATTACCCACGCCATAAATTCTGCTAATCGTATACTCTAGCTACTTACGCCGTAACCTTTCGCTCGCTATTCCTTCAATTAAAAAAAGTTGCATTCGAAACCTTTGTCCGACCAAAGCTAGAGTATGCGCATGCGCTTTTCAATCTTCACCACAGTAACCTCATTAACGCCCTCGAGTCTGTCCAGAACCGTGCAGCACGATTTATACTACCTAACTATTCATACACCTCAAACATCTCGGCACTAAAAAAGCAAATATTAACTTATTCGATCTGGCTAAATGCCGAAAAGTCGCATGTCTTAAGCTTTTTCATAAATTGTTCCATTTTTTGCCTTTAAATAACCCATACATTAGATGAGCCCTTCGCGTTTCCCGACTATCCAGTTCAAGCCCGTACCATCAACTTTCACCAATCGTTTTCCTGCGCACAGCCAGGGGCTGGAATGACCTGCCCAGTGAAGTTGCCACCATAATCGACACCCAAGCATTCAAGCGGCTCACCAAAACCATCCCATCATAACTGCCATTATAATAATAGCCTTTCTATCACCCGCTTCCTCATGTATTAATCTCAACCGGGACCTTTGTGGCAATAAAAATTAATGAGAATGAATGAAACAAGAAGAAAATCCGGGCGTAGCTTGCTCAAGTGGCGCAATGCACAGTGGAGCTGATTGGTCCCTAATCTGTGGTGTTTTACGTGCCGAAACAATGGTAGGATTACGAGGGACCTCGTGATGGAGGGATCTGGAAATTTCGAACATCTGGGGTTCTAAACATGCACTGGCATCGCACAGAGCACGGGTGTCTAGCATTTCGGCTCCATCGAACTGCGATCACCGTGGCGGGATTGAGCCCTTCACATTGGGACTAGCAGCCAAGCACCGTAATCACTGTTCCGCCGAAACCAATGGTGATCTGTTCCAATCTGGTCCTTGCCATACTAAGTGGTATCAGATTATACGAAATGATGCCAAATGATGCTAAGTTACACGAAGTAATGGGAAGTGATGCCATGTTCCAACCAGTTGATTGATATGTGGCGTTTAAGGTCACAAAACCATTATATGAATATGAGAGACGCCGTAGTGGAGGGCTCCGGAAATTTCGACCACCTGGGGTTGTTTAACGTGCACCCAAATCTGAGCACGCGGGCCTACAACTTTTCCGCCTCCATCGGAAATGCAGCCGTCGCAGCTGGGATTCGATCCCGTGACCTGCGGGTCAGCAGCCGCGTACCTTAGCCACTAGACCACCGTGGCGGGGCTGTTCCAACCAAGTTCAGCACAATCGCGTCTTGCCGTTTCGAGCGTACTACGTCATGGACTATTAAGAACGGGAAGTTTATTGCACACTTAACTTGTACATACACAAACGAAACATCGAAAACAAGTAAAGACAGTGCATACATCTTAAAAACGAGCACCAAAACCTAAATGATCACTGGGTATCCAAATGTTACAAGTAAAAAAAAATTAAAGTGAATCAATTTAATTACATTTCACCGGATAACACTTATGTATGCGTACTAGAGTGGGCGCATGGCTAGTACGGAACAACTGCAAACTTCAGCTGTCCCTCTCTTACTTTGAAGAAACGTGTGAGCCATCGTCGAAGGAAAGCCTCTTCACCGTGAGTTTCCAGCTGCTGATCTAGGTAATTTCACACAATGAGCCATATTTTCCGTAGTGCGGGATAGGCGCCTCTACGTGGCTTGTGCCGTACTTCCGCTAAACAGCGTCGCCGCCACAGTACGTACAATGTCACTGTAAAGACAGTCTTGCAAACAGTCCACGTTCTGTTCCCATGCGCGCCGTGCGAAAGCCAAAGAGGCGTTGTACCATGTGCCAGATGCCCCTCGCCACCGAGCACTGAAACAGAGCATGTTGGGCCGTCTCTCTTTTGCCGCAGTTTAAGCAGCGGTCATTTGAAACGACTCCCCAATGTGCTTACCGATCATGCGTAGGGAAGGCCCTCCATCTTCTCAACCACTCAAATTGGCGCACCTGGTTAGGTACGTGATTCCAACGCCATCGTTTCCCATTTTTCGTGGAGGATGCAGTTTCTTCCTCTTTGCTCAGTGTGCTACTTGTCACCATTTCGCTTATTTCCTGCGATGAAACATCTTCCAGACTGCATGAACCAATTGATTCCACTGTTCGTTTGAAGCCACTGGCAGAACTTAAGCGGAATTTCCGCTCGTGGTCCGATGTACGGATTTGCCGTGAAAGTACCTTTAAGTGTACTGCTCCAGCACATCAAGAGCCTGTACCCGAGGCAGTTGCTGTCATCGAAGAGCTTGTGTGTTGTTTTGCTGCCAGAGCTCTCATGAATGTTGCTATGTCTGGGAGACTCAAGCCTCCACGGTTTGTGGGAAGCTGTAAAAATTTCCTTTGTACCTTTGCTGATTTCCCTCCCCAGAGGAAGGCCCCGCCATGGAGGCGAGGCGTCCTGTTACACGGCGAGGTAAAAGGGCGATGTGTGCTATGTAAAACACAAAAGCGCATGCCTGTGTCTTAATGACTGTTGCTTTTGCCGTTAGTGACAGGTTAAAACGAGTGGCTGCTGCTATTACAACGGTGGATTTTCTAAGCACGTCATCCCAGGTCCTTTTTGAAATTCCTGGCGAGTCGATTTCTGGTGATTCCCAGTAAGCGGCTTCTTTATCGGCATTGCAAGCATTCTTTAGTATCTGCATGTCTACTTCAGGCACAGGCTTTATAAAGAATGAAGGTGCGCAAGCACAATTAACCGCAAAGTCATGTCTGACGCGACCGAGTGGTGGCGCGTGGAGTCCAGGCAAGCAAAATCACTTTAAAGGGACACTAAAGGCCACTATTAAATCAGCGTTGATTGTTGAAATAGTGGTCTAGAAACCTCGTAGCGTTACTTTTGTGCCGAAGAAGGGCTTATTGTTAAATGAAATTGCATTTTAGTGGTTCGCATCAGGTTAGCACACTTCAAATTACCCGCCTCAACGGAACCTCTGACGTCACTGTTGCCGCACAAAACGCTTCCCGGCTTTAATACGCAGATGCCAGCTAGCAGCAGAGGGAAATTAGTGGGAGCGCCAACAGAAACAATGGCCATTGAACATATTTAACCATGGCCTCCATAATCGCCGGCTGCTTGGTTCAACTAAGTCTCGCTAAATAGGACGACCTGTGGAGTTCAACCACGCGAAAATTCAATTTTCAAACCACTCGTATTCTTGTGCATTTACCTTAGCTTTTCGGTAAGTAGGGCACTGCTGTTGATAATATTATCGCTTTAGACGTTGTAACACATTGAGATTTCACTCTGACGTAAATTGTTATTTGACTTTAGTTTCTCTTGAAGGCAGGCGGGCTCGAAACAGCGTAGGAGGTAGCGAAGCAGACACCCAGCTCTGCAACCGGTTGCTAGGCAACGCGCAGTGACGTCATTTCTAGTAATTGATTTATTTGGGGGGTTTAACGTCCCAAAACGACCATATGATTATGAGAGACGCCGCCGTACTGGAGGGTTCCGGAAATTTCGACATCTGGGGTTCTTTGACGTGCACTCAAATCTGAGCACACGGGCCTACAGCATTTTCGCCTCCATCGAAAATGCAGCCGCCGCAGACGGGATTCGATTCCGCGACCTGCGGGTCAGTAGCCACGTACATTAGCCACTAGAACACCGCGGCTGGGGTCATTGCGAGTAAGATTTTTTTCTGTTCGCGTTGAACTGATTACATCAGGCTTGAATGGCTGTGCTGTTGTAAAAATATATCAAAGAATTCTCAATGAGCATTAGCACAGTGAGTATTCATCCGTCTCTTTTTTAGCCATGGTGCGAGTCCACTATTTATTTCTCAATCGCAACTATTTTCTGCTGTTCCTATTTTTCTCTCAGTCACAATGTCGTCGTTTATTTGATAATCTGAGCTTGTCTTTTTTCTAACTAATTCCTACCAATTAGCTCAGCTGTCTACCCTTCGAGAAGAACTCTAGCACCACCGGCTATCTCCCATGATGTCTTCGAAGCGGACACAAGAGAGAGCAGAAGTGCGAATGAGCACACCTTGGAGGCAGTTCGAGCGGGTACTCTGTTCCGAGAACATGTGCGCCAGAATAGCCGCGATGTCGTGGATGCTGCATACGGAGAAGCGCCGGTTGTTGGGCATCGTGCCTTGAGATGCGCTGGCGAACATCAGGAAATTGCCCACGCTGCCCCCAGGAACGCACTTTGGAGGGTCGTGCTGCGAAGATGCGAACAGGAAAAAAGTTTTTTTTCCTATTAAGACTTGCGAACTTCAGATGTCGCGAGTGAGAGTGAGCGGAAATATGCGGATCCCTGTACCCGGCCACTGCATGGTTTTGCAGCGAATTTGACAGGCAAACAACTATTTAAACAGAGAATACAGAACAACAAGAATCAAGTATGGGAACTGATTTTCCAAAGCTGGGTGACGGTGGGCCGAAATGTATTCAATTAAACTTGCTTGTTCTTAGCAAACTAGATCACGCATCAGCTATTTGGGACACATCTTCGGCTAACCTAATTACTGCACTTGAGCTCGTACGAAACAACGCTGCCCATTCCAGTTTACACAACTACAATCGTACCGGAATTGTCACCACCATGAAAAACACTTTTATTTTATCAACTCCAGAATCTCGACGCCAAGTTTCACGCTTATATTGCTTTCAAAAAATTTTTACCATTGCCCTAACATACACAATCAAATATGTCTCCATCTTTCATTTCACCCAGGCAAGATCATTCCCATAAAGTAGGCGTACCTTCATTTCAGACAACATTTCGTTCACAGCCCTTCGCTGTCCGCACATCAGTAGACTGAAACCGCCTTTCAGGAATAACAGCCGTCATCGAGAACAACGCTTGCTTCCTGAATAACTTAGCTAACCTTGTATACCAAGGCTAGAAAAGACGTGTTAGTTGTTCTGTACTGTTCTCTGACTTTTGTTCGTAAATAGTTAGAGCGTTGTATATAATTGTATAGCCCAGGAACATAGCGCTGGTGTTTGGAATTTCATTTTTATTGCGATAGCAATTACATAGACAATTTTGGCAGGATTTCGCCATCGGCCTCGGCGTCGACGTGGGCATTGGCATCACCGTCATTTACCATATATGTGTACGTATCTTTATATATGAGAACGCAAGAAAGAAAAAAAATAATCCAGAAAAAGCCTCCAGCGCGCGGAATCAAACGTCTAACCTCTGAATCATGAGTGCGAGGTGTTAGCCACTGAGCCACGAAGGAGCATTTCCTTCAACGTTCAAACGGCAAGCTCTTTACGTCTACCACTTACCGCTGGTAAAGGGTTTCTCGGGGGAACTGTTGTGTTTTCAGCATTACCAGCGCGATGGCGCAATGAGCGCGTGTCGCCACACTGTCACGACGCTGCGGCGCGGCTCTCGTCTCCTACGCGTACTTTGCCATTTGGAGAGGAAGCAGGGTGGACGCTCACGCGTTCGCTTGCTTATCTCGTGGTCGAGACAATTGTAGGCCTTGGGTGTTCACCGGAGCTATTCTGTTGTAGTTACCGGGCGCAAAATGGTCCCGGCAATCGTTGCGCATTCTTCGTTTGCTGAAAGGGCGCCCTTTTCAGACACAGCGAAGTAACAACTGAGACGATTATTCACGTTCATCTGCACGCACGAGCAACAGAATACCAATCAAGAAGGGTGTAAGGCAGGGGGACACAATCTCCCCAATGCCATTTACCACGTGCTTACAGGAGGTTTTCAGAAGCCTAGAATGGGAACAGTTAGGGAGAAGAGTTAATGGCTTCGGCGATGACATTGCATTGCTGAGTAACTCAGGGGACGAATTGCAACTCATGATTACGGAGTTAGACAAGGAGAGCAGAAAGGTGCGTCTTAAAATTGATCTGCAGAAAACGAAAGTGATGTACAACAACCTCGGAAAAGAGTAGCGCTTCGAGATAGGTAATAGTTCACTTGAAGTTGTAAAAGACTATGTCTACTTAGGGCAGGTAATAGCCGCTGAGCCGAACCACGAGATTGAAGTAACTAGAAGAATAAGAATGGGGTGGAGCACATTTGGCAAGCACTATCAAATTATGACAGGTAGATTGCCACTATTCCTCAAGAGGAAGGTATATAACAGCTTTACCTTGCCGGTACTTAACTACGGAGCAGAAACCTGGAGACTTACAAAGACGGTTCAGCTTAAATTGAGGACGACGCAGCGAGCAATGGAAAGAAAAATGGTAGGTGTAACCTTAAGAGACAAGAACAGAGCAGAGTGGATTAGGGAACAGACGGGGGTTAAGGATATCATAGCAGAAATCAAGAAGAAGAAATGAAATGGGCCGGGCATGTAGCGCGTAGACAGGATAACCGCTGGTCATTAAGGGTAACTAACTGGATTTCCAGAGAAGGCAAGCTGGCTAGGGGGAGACAGAAGGTTAGGTGGGCAGATGAGATTAAGAAGTTTGCGGGTATAAATTGGCGGCAGCAAGCACAGGACCGAGTTAACTGGCGGAACAAGGGAGAGGCCTTTGTCCTGCAGTGGACGCAGTCAGGCTGATGATGATGATGATGATGATGATGATGATGTACCTGTGAGTACGTTTTGTGCGTCACTTGTGCGCAAAAAACGGGGAGCACGTTTCAATCTGTTGCTTGCCATTCTGCATGTGACATTCCGTGACATTTGCGGCAAAAGTGTGACTTTTTTCGTGTATTTATTAGGGGCGAAGCTCTTCATAGCGGCACCCGTTCGTCCCTCGTAGCCGTTGTAGTATGTAACAAGTATAACATTTTGACCTCCAAGGTGGTGCCGGTGAGATATTTCTTATGTGCGTTGTTGAACAATAAAAAATAGTGCTCAATGTAGCACACGCTGCGATCCCCATTAGCAGCCATTGGCATGTACATTGAGCACTATCTGACAAGAAAGGGTTGCTACGTTATACTCGCTGGGTGTAACCTCCTTAGTTTTAGAAAATTTTAGCGTTGAGCTGCAGTGCCATGAATACAATGAACTAGTATCTACCATGAATGAACTCGAGGTGGTTAAAGGTGGGAAGTAGATGCGAAGCGCAAGCCGTAAGAAAGTAAAAGCCGAATTCTCCTGTCTCTCGTTTCCCATGAGCAGCCATTGGCATGTACATTGAGCACTATCTGACAGGAAAAGGTTGCTATGTTATACTCGCAGGGCGTAACCTCATTGGTTTTAGAAAGGTATAGCGAGCGTTGGGCCACAGTGCCATGAATACAGTGAACTAGTATATACCATGAAATCGAGCTGGTTAAAGGTGAGAAGTAGACCCGAAGCGCAAGCCGTAAGAAAGTGTGCGTGTGCCACCTCTCGTTTAGTCCTTGGAATGTCCGCTGGATGGCGGTGCTTCTATATGAGGAATATATGATGAAGAGATGCGGTATGGTGGTACTTGGAGTGTTAAATAGATGGACGAACGGACACACAGACAGATGCATGGATGGGCGCATGAACGGACGCAGGGGCGGATGCATGGACGAACGCAGGGACGGGCGCACGAACAGACGCACGCACGGACGGGCGGATGGACGCATGGACGTTCACACAGATGGACGCATGGACGGACGGAAGCAAGAACGAATGAACGGATGAATGCTTCGCCCCACTCTCTATCATTCACTCCGTGGATATCCTACCAATTTTTTTTATTGACCAGTCCTCTCTCTAATGCCTTTTGGCCTTGAGGGCATAAATCAATGAATGAATGAATAAATAAATAATTCACAAATAGGAAAATAAAAAATAAATACATATTAAACGTATTTGATATAACCATTTTCATCAAAAGGAGGTCATACCACCTTAGCAGCCGAGGTTAATGATGAACTTTATTGTTACAACATTTCTATTGAAGGTGCAACGTCATGACGCCGGATTAAAATGATTTGGTGCAGCCTCGACGGCACCACTCACTTAATGATTAATTTATGACCTCCGTGGTGTCTTCCCTTCTACAGGTCATAGTCAAATTCGGATACTCAATACGCAAACGTCAAGCTGCTGAGCAAAAAGCAGATTGGTGGGTGCCTGGACTTCCTTGATCGCGGGACCACGCAGGTATGTGTGTACATGGAGGCTGCAATCACGCACCTGTGCGCCGAAGTTGTGTCCCAGTTCGTGGGCGAAAGTGACCTCGGAGACCCGGTGGGGCACGCGCACGTTCTTGTTGACGAACGTGACGATACCCGTATTCAGGCTGACCCGGCCCATGTAGTCCGAGGTCAGCTGCAGTGCCACGTCCGACTGGAACTTCTCGCAAAGGCCGCCAGCATTACCTGAGAACAACACTGATTCAGTCTTGACCGCGCAACGTAGCCCACTTCTTCGCAAGAGCCGTGCTTCACAGTCAGTCTGTGATAACCCCTATGGTGTGCACATGCCGCAGGTATAGCTGCTGCCGGTGTGCTGCGTTCTAGCCGAAATGATTACCCTCGTGGCCTGAAAACATCAAGCACTGGCGTCTGCAGCCCTTGCAACACGCGGGCAGACATCGAGTACATCACCTAAGACTCCCCGCTGCGCACGAGCAATGGTCAATCCTAATGAAATGGCCACCGACTTGTTTTTAAGTCTATGTACTGTACCCAGGTGCCGCAACACCACCGCGGCCGCGAACGAGCTATGGCGGCAACTGTTCGAATACGTGGCTCACCCCGAGACTCCAGCCTGTGACAACAGGGCTCATCTTGGGTTTGACAGCCAGAGTATCAGCTCGCGAGATGCGTATTAACTATTGTCCTTTCCGGTCTTACGCGATTTGCACCACATCCGTTCAATGGTAAAGACGCAAATAAAGACGCATTGACAAAAACCGATTGTGTCGGCGAATAGCCTTCTTGGACTTTTCCGTCTTTCATTGTGGTGGTCGATGCTCGGTGATCTTACTTTACTGGTGATGCAAATGGCACTTGCCCTTGAACACCAGAGGTGGTAGATGGTATGCAGTTGAAGACCTAGTTTCTGTGCAGCAAATGTTTGCTGTGCGTCTGAACTGCTAGTCGGCATTTGGTGAACTACGCGGTCTCGCCTTTCAAGGTGCATGTCTGGCATCAAACGTTCCAGTTTTGCGGGTATTTGAATGCTCTATATAGGGCGCAAAGATATTAAACTCCGAAGTGGTCCGTCACAATGCTACTACAGTTATCTGGGGTTAACAGTATTCTAACAAAAACGTATGCTCAGGCTTGTCCATGTAGACACAGTGAATGAAAAAAAAAACGAAAATGAAGGGAATAAAGTGACAAGATTACACCTGATAGCCTTTTTTCAATTGTAGTTTGTGAATACCTTCAGTGTTTTTGCCACGGAACGTATGCCAAAAGGGTGAAAAATACAGCAAATGGACGATGTAACTCAGTTAACAGAAGCTAAATGCTTAAGTTCTATATACGCAGAGCAAAAAAAAGTGACAGAATACTCGATGCTGTCCATATTTCACCTCTCTGGCACTCATTAGTGTTTACGGATTCCAGTGAATTCAGAGAGTTCTCTGCCTCGCAACTCGTGGGAAACGAGCACATGGCCGTAGCAATGCGACCGTGCAAAATATACTTCCAATTTTTTTTTACCTCTGTGCATGCATGCTACTTGTTACGTAAATAATCATAGCAGTGTCTTCATAGCAATAGTCATATGCAGCGTCTTCACATGATGCATTATTGATATTATTACGTCCGTGGCATGGTTATCCCCATGGGAAAAGGTGGTGAACAGGCCGTCCACCACTCTGTTTCGCTGCCCACCGTTTTGATTGACGCTATTGAAATGTGCGCCTGAGGAAGTCGTAAATCACAACTGTGCGCGTTACGCCAGGAAGCGGTGCCTCCCGCCACCTGGGTAAGTAAAAGAGTACCTGAATAGGTGGCCATATGGTTTCAATGATTGCCAACTCCACGGTCAGTGGTAGAGAAAATAAACGCTCTCGCTTCTGTTTTAAATGTGCGTCATAAATTCTAAAACGGGAACTGTTTAAACATGAAATTATTAAGCTTATTAATTCCCAATGTTTCGCTTATGCAACGTGGCTCTGGTGTCGTGATGCATACCGTTGAGCTCTGCGACGTACGCGAGGCCCAGTGTGCCGCCGGGGTAGTCACGGTACGTCCACAGGTATGAGACGCAGAAGTTGTCGTGGTTAATTTTGGACAGCTCGACAAGCGTGTGCGTTGCATCCAGGGTGTCGGCGCAGAAGGGATTCGTGCGGCGCACCGAGCCCTGGCAATCACTGGAGTCGTTGATCTGTGGTGATGGAAGAGCAGACCTCAAACCATGTTCGCACTGAAAGAAGCCGCCACACTTGCCTCTGCAGTGGGTGATCTTGCGAACCAAGTGGTTCACTTCAGTTTGCGAGAGCCTGATGCTGGTCCTTGTAAACCTATATACTGGACAATGTACAGAAACGAACGCGCCAAGAACCTCACAGAACGGGCACGTCAAGACCATCTTCGTAACATTACGGCGTTATGCTGATGTAGCAGTTGCAGTGAAACTAGAATGAAGGAAGGTTGGCTATTGAATAATAATAAAGCTGATGTGGCGGGCGACGTGTGAGTGCGCAATAGTTGCATGGTTAGAGCTGGTTAAGGATAATCGGCCATCAGTGGATGGCAGTACGGAAACATTTGTGACTCGGGATAAGTGATTCTTTGATTATCCAACAGTGAGTAACACCTCAAGATCTACCCAAGCTGGTTTCATAGCTAATATTTGCTACTGATTTGATGGTAGTCGGAGGTACTTGGAATCGAAAACACTGACAATGTGTCCCATTTGCGTACATTTGAGAGCCATTTCATCCAGCCCTTGCTTTTGACTCACATCCGATATCTATATGCGACCGGTAACTTCTGTCACCGCAAGGGAATACAGTGCTTGTGCTGGCAACACCCTATGGCGGAGTCGCAGGGTACCGAGGTTTGGCGGGCCTGATCGAGCCCTCCAGTGTCACTGGGGGAGCTACGTAGCTAAGAAGCCCTAAAAAGTTTGAGAACGCTGTCAACATGACAAGTAGTGTTTGCTGAATGTACCGTTATCTTGAATATGCTAATTGGCAACCAAGAGAGAATGATGTTAATGCAAAACAAACTCGTTTCACAAAAGTCTATAACAAACAAACGAGAACAGTGAACGCTTCACTAACAATACATTTAATATAATACTGCATGTCTACATGTGCCCGAATGGTCAAGAACCTAAAACCGCTTTGTTCTGTGCTATATATTGCCTTATATACACATAAGGATAAAGAGAAGCAGTTAAAACTCGTTTAGATATGCAAAATGTCATTTTGCATATTTCACTCATGGGTAGACGCACTCGGAATCAGACTCAGATCGAGCCGTGAGCCTGAGTCTGAGGGAGTCCGAGTTAGTCATGTTTTCGTGAGGTTGAGTCTCAGTGAGTCCAACTGAAGAAAATTTTTGTGAGCGTGAGTCCGAGTGAGTGCAAAGCGCAAAATGTATTTCTTGAGTGAGTAGTTCCACTTACTTTTTCCGGCCGAAAGTCATATCTAGTCATCTTCAGCATTACTATCAGCCTTACTTGGATTTATGTTTAAACTCGCGTCTACTCTCGGGTATTCCAAAGCAGTGCCGTTCTTAAAACGTGTCAATATTTGTTAATTAGAGGCCTAAACTTCGTAGGAGGGTGCCTCGACCTCAACCCACTAACTATTTCAGGGAATTTTATGACTACCATATTTTATGATGTCACATCTTCCAAGAAAAAATGACCTTACTAGTCCGAAAGCCGTTTGAACTTGTTTTCGAAGACACCATGTCAAACGACACCAAGAAGATCCCCGACTACGTGAGATATTAAGTATGAATACACTTTATAAGCGACCCCAAACCATCCACCGCCGTTGGCGGCGTCCGCAGTCTTCTCTCTATCTTTAAAAGAAAGAGGACTTGGCGGGCCGCAGCGAGACGCTCTAACAAATTACCTCGGCTACAAAGGCGGAGACGATGGCCATAGCCTTAGCCTTAAGGTTTCAGGAGCGTAGAGGGGAGCCATCAGTTATTTTATCCGACTCCCAGGAAGCCTGCCGGCTCTTTTTAAGGGGCCGCCTTCCAGCAATGGGGCTGAGGCTGCTAGGATCCAAACTCACTCACCACCATCGCTTGATCTGGTGCCCGGGACACGCAGGTCTCGAAGGCAATGAAAGGGCGGACGCTCTAGCTCGTGCGTTTTGTAACCGAGCGGAGAATCCATCTCTTTCATTGACCATGCCAATTTTACCTAGGGAGATTCTAGCTCACCAGCGCTTCACGCGTCAAAAATGTGGAACACCTCACAGATCCCTTAATGGGGAAGAGGCCACTGACCTTAGAAAAATTCAAACGGATGTATTTCCGCACCTACTGAAGTTACACGCGATACATCCAACTCTTTACCCGGCTGTATGTCCGTGGTGCGGCGGAAGACCGACTCTCTACCACATATCGTGGGGGTGCGATCGTAAACCAAGCGACATAACCAATTTTCTCGGCGAACCTTTAACACCTAGTATGGAGCAGTGGGAGGCACACCTCGCTAGCTCGGACCCAGGAGTGCAGCTCGCACTACTGGATCAAGTCCGGCGGGCGGCTAAGGCCAGTGGAGCCCTGGACGTAGGGCCCCAACCATAAAGGCTCCAAAACGCCCCTCTCCCTTTCCCCTTCAATAAAGTTTTACTCTCTCTACCAAATAAGCCACGGACGCGACGCTGATATCGGTGTCAGTAACGCGCCTTATACCCCTCCCCCTTCGCTCGCTGCAGCTGCGCGCGCACCCCTTTCTCTCGCGCGCCCGCCTTCTCTCTCAGTCTCCCGTCGAGAGCGGGTCGTGAGGGGGAGTAAAGTTAAAATCCGTTGGCATTCGCCAGTGAGTTAACGTAAACTCCCCCGTGTGATCAAATTGCGATTCCCAGGAACCATTACACCATAAAGGCACCATAGTGTGATTAATAAATATAATAGTGCGAATTAATAAATACCCCTCATAGCATCACCCCGTGTATTCGCACTCAACCATGTTCACCCTCGGGGAAATGTTTGGGAGTTTTTTGGTGTTAAAGAGCATTGACACCATGGTCTAAGAAGTTAATATAGACGGACAGACTCATGAGTTGACTCATTCAGGCTCAGATCAAGCCGTTAGTCTGAGTCTGAGTGAGTCCGGGTGAGTAATGTTCTGGTGAGTCTGAGTACGAGTGAGTCCGTCTGTAGAAAATTTTCTTGAGTCTAAACACGAGTGCACGTACAAAGCTAGAAATATATTTCATGAGTGGCTCTGAGTGAGCTCCACTAGTTTCGCCAACCTATGCTTAAGACTATGGTGCTAGCTTAAAACGCGTAGGTCCTTCTGAAGAAGAAGAAGAATAACTTTATTTATTTATTTATGAAGTCCAGCGAAGTTGATTTGGGGCGGGCCTAGGCGTCGGCCACGAGCCCTTGGGCTCGGGCGGCTTCCTCGGCTCGCTGGACGGCCCACAGTTGTTGTTCGAATGAGGAGCTGAGCAGAGCCCCCTCCCAGCGTGTCCTGCGGTCCGAAACTGCCTCTTCGTGGTTTTCATCGTTGCTTTCATCTAAACTCGAGCATTCCCATAGTATATGTGAAAGTGTCGCCCTTTCATCGCAAACCTTGCATTTTTCTGTTAAATACAGATCAGGGTAACAGAGACTAAAGAGAACTGGATTCGGATAAGTATATGTTTGCAGTTGTCGCCACGCAACTGCCTGTTGAGTCTAAACTAATTTACTCTCTCCGTTCATTCAATTGTACACACGTTCCACTTTCACGTAGAACAAATAGCTATAAAAATTCTTGGCGGCGCCAGGTTTCCAATATGCTGCAATCCTACGGGGCCACCAGTGCTTGCAGAACGCGAATACACACTGAGCTATGAATGCGCTGTACCGTCGGTAGTACACGCACGTAAAAGGAGAACACTCCCTGTAAATGCTTAGATGATCCATTCCGTACTCGCGCAATAAAATCACTCTGTAACACAGAATGCAAAGTCTATATGAAGGATTGTAAACACAGTAGTACCAACTTTACGAACAAAATAAAATTGTAATAAAAATATTATACTGTCTTTAAAAAATAGAAGAAATAGAAGAAACGGGATACATTGCGCTGACCTTCACATTAAGTTTACTGAAATAGGGCACGGAGCTTCATCAAACAAACGGCTTAAATCTAGTGTGCATGCTTTTCTTCAAAAACGATTTGTCGTTCCATGAAGCACCCCTTCGTGTGAGCTCTTTTGGTCTTTTTTGATAAACCCAGTTGAAAGTTCAGCGTTATGCGTCACTTTGTCAAGTTAGTAAAGTGCTGCTTCATAATTTTGTGATGTAAACTTACCAATTCACACAATCAGCCTTTTTTCTTCAGCTTACGAAAATGCCTGCACTTTCGTCTACTAGACTAACTGGTCTTCGTATTTATGTGAGTGCATTTGATGAAGGCGTACTTTTCCCCGCTAAATGCATTGTCCGCGAAGCGTGCCATAAGTACCTGCAAGCGCTGAACGACGAAAGAGATGTCCGTGATGCCATTGAAATTTGTGGTCCCGAAGATTTCCGTCGCAGAGGCGACGTGCGTATGCACCAGGCTCGTGATAGCCGCTTGGATCTTGTTCGGATCGCCGTTCATATCTGACGACACCATCTGCAGATGGCAAAGGGAAGCAAAAAGAAAATCAAAACAAAACAAAAAGCAAACGCACTCACGTAGGGCATAAAGAACTCCACAGAATAAAGAAGATGCGCGCATCATGACTCTGTTGAATACAAATGTTGTTGATAGTCTCGTGTTGTCATTAGGATACACACAAGGAAACAAAAAAAAACTTGAAAAGGTGTATAGCTTGTTCATTAATTCGTCATGGAAGGGAACCAAAAAAAATTAGGGGCCCTTCACCTATTGGCATATGAACGGCAAGCCAAGCTTGGTGTGCGCGCGCCTTACCTACTCTTTCTTTCTTTCTTTCTTTCCTTCTTTCTTTCTTTCTTTCTTTCTTTCTTTCTTTCTTTCTTTCTTTCTTTCTTTCTTTCTTTCTTTCTTTCTTTCTTTCTTTCTTTCTTTCTTTTGCATTGAATGCTCCTCTTAACTATTTCCTTCCTTTATGTCCGGGATCGAGCCATATCGTACGTGTTCACCAGCGCTAAATTTCAATTGGAACAGGCAGCAATGACGGTCATGCGCGAAACAGTGAAATGAAACAATGAAAGGCGAAAATGAAACGTGGCAACGTGAAAGGGCCAGGTACCTCAATAAAAGGCCTGATTTTCATATCGAACAGCTGGTCCCCGAGAAGTCCACGATCGAAGGAGCACCAGTTATTGAAAAGAGTGCGTACAAACGCGCATGGCACAGGCCCGCCTTCGAAGTTCTATCTGTGCGCTGCCGCACTTCTGCAGACTTTTCGTCACTAGCTTTTTCACGAACTATGACGCCACCACTCAAGAGAAGCGGAAGCAACTAAAAAGATGGCTTTAAAGGGTATAAGGACAGTGTGATGACTGCCAAGTAATAAAAAAAGCGTCTTAACGTGTTTTTTTTTCTCGAGACAAGCAAAAGACACACGTGAATGGTTCTAGCCTCTTTGTGCTCGCGCAAAAAGCGTTAGCACGAATTTGTTCCAACGAGGCCAAATCTCAATTTGGCTAGAAAAGGCAGTGTTAAAATTCTTCAAAGTGAATGCGAAAGCGCACTTTTTGGCAAAAACAGACTGTGGACGCAGGGCTTCTGGCCTTCCTCGATTAATCCGGCAAGGGCACGTCATGAGTTAGCCACGGAAACCACGGTTGAAGATACGAGAGGCGCTTGCTCTCGTATATCTCGGCTGTCTGTCGTTATTCCGGATATCGCACTTTCGTCTTCGCTAGCCTTACTTGAGCATTAGTCACATAAACAGCACTCTCGTAGGTCGAATGAACGAGTGGCTGTGGAAGCTTCCATCAGAGTCCAGCTCAGTTCCGCTAAAGAAACCGAAGATGACGTAGGTTTTCACGTTCACACTTTCAACACGCTCCCTTGGACGGAGCAATAAACACTTTTTCACGTATTGAAACGCTCCTGCTGCAAGAACCGTGAAACCAATCACGCCATCGTCGTCAATAATGTAGGTACTTGCTAACCAAGAAGAACTTTTATCGAATTGTCAAACATCCTTAGCTTCCCTCTCATACGGAATTCCTTGTATGGCTCCCCGCGCTCACCTCGTAGAAGGTGTGGTCGACGATGAGCTCGATGTTGCACACCCGCTGCACGCCCTTGCGGATACGAGCGCCTGCCGGTCGAGCTTCAAAGGACATCTGCCGTGCTGTCAGCCGCTGGTTCGCACCGGCATTTGTCGACACGGAGCCAATGCTGCTGACGTCGGCAAGGGGGTCCTGCGATTCTGGATGCCCCACGACGGCTGTTGCTGTGGAGCGTCTGGCTCGTCTCAGTTCCGAATTCTGCGAAGTTAACATTCTCTTCCTCGAAAAGTGTTTATGCCTAACCTCGCTTCATCGCAAACTTTCAGCATAGCACACGTTATCATTAGTTGGAAAGCGTGCAACAAAAAAAGAAAAAAAAGATATAATTTCTACAGCATAGCTTACGAAAATGTAGTGTAGTACACGTCAGGGGCACCCTCGGACCAAAAAGAACAAAAGAATAAAAAAGACCATTTTGGAACAGAGTCGGGAGGAATACCAAGCCGCAGTAGTCTGAGACTGAGGAAGAGGGAATGGAGAAGGGGAGAGGGCCGCTTAGCATCATATATGAAGGGTCTTTTCCCCGCCATGGACGCTGAGTTTACTGCACGTACAGACAGCCAACGCTTACTTGCCCGTGTACGCCAGTGTCAGCGAGTGAGGCGATGGTCACTGCTCCGCATTTACGACAGCTTTCGCGGTGAGTGTAAGTGTCCAGTTATCGCTCGCTCTACATGGTCACTGTTCATGCGGGAAAGCATGAAAAAATTCGTCTTTAGGAGAGCGAAACATCACAGTATTATCCAGCATTTGAAACTATTCTCACTGGTGGAGTTCCTAGTGCAGGGCCCCATACGTCTAGCAATCACCTTTGACGATGCACGCCCGTGTGGACGTCGTATGCCGACGGGAACGTCCTGCGCGTGTCCGCGCACTCCGCATCCGGTGCCATCGAAGCTGACGTCCTTGGCCGCGTAGATGAGCGAGTGGAAGAGGGCAGTAGGTGAGGAGGGGGAGGAGGAGAGGTAAGAATCGACACGCTCCACGTAGAAGTCCCCGTCGTCGTCGCCAGGAGTCAGAGAGATGCGTCCGCTGAAGACTCCGTCCATCATGGCGCCCACCACGCGGCTACCCGGGGCACCTGCGCATAAGGGAACGACAGCGTCCGCCATTCGCGCTGTGGCATTCAACGTAGCGGTACAATTTTTACGGCCGACGAGCAAACACGATGCAGGTTCACAGAGCAAGCATATATTAATAAAAAAGTGGTTAGTATATTTTCTACATATCGTTAGGAGTTACCGTATTAGCCCTCTTTATAGCTATAGAGTTCTGTACTTTGTAAGTAACCTCAGCTGACGCCATGGGGACGAAAAAAGAGATGTAAAAGAATAACACAGAGAGGAGGTGAAGCAGTGCAATGAAGTGCAATTGGTTGTCCGCACATCCGCTACGTTTCTTCCGCCAAGCGACCAAAGCAGGTCTCTCTCGTGTCTGATGCTACATTGCGCATCTGCGCGAAAAGCAAGCCGGCTCAATATAATCACTAAGGTAAACTAATATTGTTTATTTTCGTTTTACTGTAGACTACCTCGCTTCAGCAAAGCATCAGATGGGGAAACACATTGTATTTTGGTGAAACACGGGCCATACAATAAATCACAGTATATGAGTGGCAAAAGATCACCCACACGACGTGTTGATCGTTTATTATTGCAATAGCAATTATATGGAGACTCTCGGCGAGGTTTAACCATCGCCGTAATGTTCGGCATAAAGTACAAATCAGTAGCATTACCCCGTGCATCGTTTATATGCCATGCGCGCACGTGCTGGGGCCGAACGCGTCTGAAGCATAGAAACGAGCCGGTCATCTCCACCGCACGAAGGGTGCATACGATAACACCTTTTACGCTTGAGGCTGTCGTCGATGGTTATCTCGAAGACGGTAGGAAAACAATCCGCATGATTTCTTTCTGGCGTAGGAGTGGGATGGACCGCTAGTTAGGGGGCGGGGGGGGGGGGGTGTCTGTGGCCTTTTTCAAGCCCATAAACGAAGGTAATAAATACTAAAAGCTTAAAGTGTTGCTGCTGTAGCAACTGTCATATTTCGGGTGAAGCTCCTAAAGCCGTGGGTCTGTCCATGCATGTCTTTTTGTGACCGGTTCGTCATCAACTAGTTGTATGTCTCAGCAGGTGGCGCTAGTATGAGTGATAGAAAGACAAACAGACAGACAGACAGACAGACAGACAGACAGACAGACAGACAGACAGACAGACAGACAGGCAGACGAACAGACGGACGGACGGACGGACGAACAGACAGACATATAGACAGGCAGGCGGATGGACGGACGGACGGACGGACAGACAGACAGACAGACAGACGGACGGACGGACGGACAGACAGACAGACAGACGGATGGATGGATGGACGGACGGACGAGTGCACGGACCTCATTGGCAATGACTGCGTCGCGCAGCACATGCTTCCTAAATACGCACTCAGATATATTCATATGCAACCTACTACAATCCAAGCGACGTACATAAATTTAGTGTTTGCAGTTTTCTCACTGCAGCCAGTACAAGAACCTCTCTCGCTTCATTTTACGTACCCCAAAGCCGTGATAATGAACAGACCTCGCAATCCGGCCGCCATGACAACAAAAAAATGAACCACACACACACACACACACACACACACACACACACACACACACACACACACACACACACACACACACACACACACACACACACACACACACACACACACACACACACACACACACACACACACACACACACACACACACACACACACACACACACACACACACACACACACACACACACACACACACACACACACACACACACACACACACACACACACACACACACACACACACACACACACACACACACACACACACACAAAGAAACGAAACAACAAACGAACAAGAAACAAATTAACGTTGATTTGTAAATGTACGCACAGTCTTACGTCTTTGTAATGATGTAATGGGCTAACTTGTCACGAGGGAGTTACGATTTGACGATGATCTCCCCCTCTCGAGCTCATCCCCCTTATCATTCATTCCGTGGATATGGCGTGACTTCTTATTTTTGCAACGCCCACTACCGGAGCCACCGAATTTGTGCAACAGCACAATTTCTGACATCTATGGAGTAACAGAGCAACGGAAGAGTGGATGAAAGCTCAAGAAGTGATTGCACAGCAAAACAGAGCAGCTCTTCTGTTTCAAAGTAGACATTGCATTGACGTCCCCGTAGAACAGCGACGAGACGTCACACTACACGTCTGTGCTCATATGGAACCCATTTGCTCCAATCGCTCTTCTAGGAACATTCTAGGAGCATTCAACATAGCGGTAGAATGGTTACGGCCGACCAGCAAACACAATGCAGGTTCACAGAGCAGGAAGATATTCATAAAGAAGTGGTTAGTATATTTTCTACATATCGTAGAGTAGAGGCTTCGCCGTACGATAGCAAGAGCCAAGACCGAGAGCCCACGCACTAGCGCGAGATTTTCTTTAGACTTTGTCTACACCTGTTTTACAGCTTTTTGCTAAGTGTTCAGGAGTGCTGTGTCGTGTAAAAATCTTTTCATGCGTAGAGCACAAGTTTTAAGTAGAAAGTAACAGTCAGGAAAAAAAGTTATAGTCGGTACACTATTAAGTATATTGAAACTCTTTCGATATCAACATACTTCGGAATTTAAGAAAAATGCGTTGGCACCTGCAACGTGGCCGGAGTATATGTGATCAAAGCTGGCCTTCACTCGCCCTCGGCTCGTTACCAGCGAGAAGTCTTCAGTGAAGGCAGATCGGTCCTGGGTCAACTGAAGCCGAAACTCCCTGCACGGCAATTCAATGAATAAGTACAAGACAGCCAGAACTCTCGGCAAGCCCATACGGAAATCGTGAGTACGTAACACAAAGTGGTTGAACAGAAAACGAAAGTTGGTCCACATTTTTCGCCAAAAATGACAACATCCAAATTATTAAAGTAAGAAAAAAGGACTCAAAGTGAGCAAAAGGAAGAGCACAAAAAACAGAGAGAGGTGGCAGATGTTTGGGTAAAGGGTGCTCCCTTAGAAATGCCTGTTGCTGCTAATTATGAAACCATCAACGGGTTATGGCTTTGCAAACGAATAAGCGCTGCGCATGCATCAGACGGTGGGATATGATTTGAAGTACGTTTTTATACAACCCTGCATAGACGTCGCCTTTACCACGGAATAAAAGTGGTGTTGCCTATTCTAGGGGTCTTCTAAGTGGCTTGAAGTACTGGCGGGCAGGATGGAGATAAAGAAAGTAATAAGGGTGTTTTTTTCACCTTCCATGAGCTCTGAATGCGACCTGCACCGTCCGTGCCCTGCTGTTGTCGTGCCGATGAGCGGTGGCAGAGCGTTTCCAGCGCCCCAATGCGCGAACACCAACAGGCTCGTAGGACAGTGGCTCGTAGTGGCGCACGAATCGGTTCAGCACTCGCGCTGCGAAGAGGAAATGAACCACCTATTTTACTTATCAATAGAGATAAATTTCATGTTCACAAGACGAGATGCACTACGGTGGCGATGCTATTCATTTAGCTACAGGACCGTAACATTCAAGGTGCCATTTACTGCTCATGACAATAGAGAACGTCATTCCGCAAAACTAATCACATTGCTAATGACGATTAAGAGAGTGATTGCGCAATACGACAATGGCATTCAAAGCGAATTTCATTGCGGTTTTGTGTACGTGATCTATGCGGGTATGCAATATGGTTTTCACAGTATATGTCGGTGTTTGTAGTAAGTACAGTGCGCAAAATTTTAATCTTGTGATTGTGACCCTACTTCTATAGAACAGCATGTAGAGAAACTGAAAAAGAAGAAACAGAAGACGATTGTTTGAAATATCACCGCCATATTCACAAAGTGAATTATGTTAGAGGAGCTTGCTCGGAGGTGCACGGGGAGTTTCTTGGCGAGCCCATTTCTATACAAGCCTTGTTAACGAGCCGGTGCATGATGTGTACGTAAAAGGCAGCGTTGTTGGGCACGTTCCACAGCCGGTACTGCGCAGTGTTGGCCCCATGTGTCAGTGCGTTAACCACCAGCCCCTATATGTCATACTGGCCGCTGCCGTGAGTCAAATGCCCAACGCTCATAAATTGCAGACGTGGAGCTAGCAGGTGTTTTTCAACGGGGTTGAGAGCAGGCAGGTGAGGGGGCCTGGGTAGATATCAGTATCCGTGCGTAACACTCATCGTAAGAACTCTTCACGTGCTGCCGTGTCTACGAAACGACGAGAGCGAAGTGGACATAGTCGCGAGGAAGTGAGCGCGCGGGCCATCGAAAACCAACGCTTCGGGTAGCGGCGCTCCATCTATAGTGATCATTGTTGGAACCACTGGAGGAGATACCTTCAGTGGTGATCAGGGAAGTGTATACTGGGAAGGCTGGTGTACACGCCGGACGCAGGACAAGGCGCGAGCATTAGAAGTTTGCCGAGCAAGCTCCTATAACGTGGCTGAAAGGACGAATGGCCGTCAAGTTGGATTCTGGCCAAAATAATGTATTTCCACGGATTGCTTGGAGTGCACTATACGTCAACAACTGCTGCAAAAAAGATAGAATTTAATAGTAACCTTGACATGGATAAAATTTTGCTATAACCTACCAACTGTGTAAGCTTTGTCGAGCTCCAGTCATCGAGTGTACACATGTCACACTTGCATGAGTTCGGAGAACCCAATAAATTAGCTAACGCCATTAGCTGTGGATGTCATTTGCTGTGACGCTGTAGCAGCAACTGGTATGCCATTATCACCCAACTGCATTATCTGTGAACGACATTGCAAATGCCGTGAGACAGGGGTATAGTGCTGTTGTGCGTGGTGTTGGTGTACTATAATAAGCGGTTCGTACACATAGTTTTGGTATTGGGCACAATATATGAAACTGATACCAGTAGTAAGTTTATTCATATTCGGCATTTTTTTTAGACAGGTCATTTCATCTACCAGTTTTAGCTTAGTGCTTAAAGCCCATACAGTCGATCCTACGGAGACTGAGCCGCATGAAGGTGCTGCTGCAGATGAAGTACTAGTCAAAGGGCCCAAGGACATTTGCAGTTGAAGTGTATAGATGACTATAATTCGCACAAGTACATAGTTATCGAGGAAGCAAGCACAATTCGGGGTGGGGGAGTTACAGATTAATCATCATGCTTCGATACCACAGAACAATGAAGCGTTGCGAGATCTGCTAAGAAAGGCATACGAGAGACTCCGGAAGCACAAATAATGGGAATTAATTCCTGTCGTTTGCACTCTTCATGAAATCAGCCAACGCCATACCTTGCTCTGTTTAGCAGTAACTGCCAAACTTACCGGCCTGCATTTCGTGGCTGAAAAGAAACAACGTAGTGAGAAAGGAAGCAGCCAGACCCCTGCGTTTCGAACGCAATGTCATCTTGTTCTTGTTCACCGTCTACTATGGCTCATACCCACTGTGAGGGATTGGCCAAGCATTGAGTGGTCTTATAACATGTTACTGAATATGTTATTTGGTCGGTTGGATGGTCGGTTGGTCGGTTGGTCAGTCGGTCGGTCGGTCGGTCGGTCGGTCGGTCGGTCGGTCGGTCGGTCGGTCGGTCGGTCGGCCGGTCCTAAGGGCCTATAGCGCAACCCACCGCAGCGGATCGGTCATGAAATGGACGGCAGCTTATTTTATAGATAAATTGTTTTACGAGCCAATTGCGCGTTGGTGCTCGTGGCTGACCGAAGAGCAGCATGGTAAACTTCGGACATCACAGCCGACTGCGTGCATAGTTGTAAACGGTGAGACCAAAAATGCACGAGGAGGCAAAACGTAGCAGAAGAAAGAGCATGTGTGAACAAATAGAGAGGTGAAGAAAGTCATTAAATAAATTTGCTACAGAAAACGACCAAGAGAGGAAGATAAAAGCTTGCAATAAAAAATCTGCAAACACGAGTTGCATATATATCTAACTTATGGAAACATAGGGTCGCGAAAGTGAAAGAAAAGTGAAAAAGGAAAAAGAAAACAAGAATGTTTGCCCGTGTCACCGCGCGAAGCATTGTTACAAGTTTATTTTAGTAGTAATAAAATCAAATAAATATGAACCAGACATCAAACACGACATTGATGTTGCCGGTTTCTTTGCATCAATTTTTTTTAGTTAGGCGTAGATACTTTCGACATAAGAAGCTATCTTAAAAATTACGCTAGCTTATCCGTAATACTCCATCATCGAAACTAGCTGAAAGCATGCAGAGCCCTTTCAAACACTCGTTTGCTGGGATCAAAGTGAATTTTTCAACAATTGCGCTAAATTCACTTCGAAGCGGGCGTCCAAAAGCGCCGGAAAGTTACCGCTAACACGGTATAACGGGAAATCTGAAAAATAACGCGCTTACAGTAATTGGTACGGGTGACGTACCTATCTGGAAATGCGCATTTCTATCCCGCTATTATGGTAAGCCCGTTATCACGGTATGTCCGTTATACTATAACTATCTAGCTATAGTGTACTGGGTATACCGTGATAGAGGGCTCAAAATCGGGAAGTTGCTAGTTCTATTCCGTGCGACAGATATGTTCCTTCTGATTTTTTTTTTTTTGAAATCTCTTAGTATGTATTTTCAGTGTCATTTCTGTGACGGATGTATACGTCAGTGGAGTGGTGGTGAACTCCGGCATAAAATTTTTGTGTTAAAAAAAAGCCAATTGAAAATACTAACTCGGAGATCTTCTAAATATTCACAGCAGAGGGCTTCTGATCGGTTTTAAATTATAAGATTTAGTGATTGATATGTGGGGTTTAACGTCCCAAAACCACCATATGATTATGAGAGACGCCGTAGTGAGAGGCTCCGGAAATTTGACCTCCCGGGGTTCTTCAACGTGCACCCAAATCTGAGCACACAGGCCTACAGCATTTCCGCCTCCATCGGAAATGCAGCCACCGCAGCCGGGATTCAATCTCGCGACTGTGGGTCAGCAGCCGAGTACCTTAGCCACTAGACCACCGGTGCGGGGCTTTAAATTATAGGAGCATACTCAAAAGCACCTATTGTAGTTATGATACCAACAAAAATAGCAATGAGCGTGCTGTTTTGTAGTGCGCCGGGATGCTACCACCGTGCTCCCCATTGCTTCCACAGTGAGCTAACCAGCTCATATGATGGTACAGAACTGTGAAAGCTGTATATGCAATCAACCAGTCAAGTTAGCTATTCTAATATTATCTTCTCAGAGATTGCATTCATTTATACTTATGATGCTTAGACAATCATTAATTCCATATCTCCTTTTGCCGGAATATTGACGATTCCCCCATGTTGGTGGGTACTGCTGTCTCTAGAGTCAACGCCATCGTTGTGACCAGCACCGTTAGCGTGATCGTTATGCACACATTTGTCCTACCATGACATAGTCGGGTAGGACAAATGTCCTACCCGACTATGTCATGGTAGGAGAGCGACTCAATGTAGCCGTTGAGTCGCTGCTCCAGCAGTCCGGCGTTTCTAGCCTTGGCAGCGCTTTGCACAGCGACCTCGATCACGGTTTCGCTTTACAAGGGACCCGAATGACCTGGAAATTCTCGTTGATCTTTGCGGGAGCTGCATGTTATGTCACGCGCTGGTGTAATCTGCCCCCCGTAGACAACGAGGTCACCCTGGAGGTCATTTTCGGGAAAGAAAATGGCGGAAATGCATCACGGCTGCCGCCCCTGTTCGCGTACCACGGGGCTGGTCACTACGCGCCGGAACATACGCTGGACTAGATACGAGCAGCGCGCGAGAAAAAGGCGGAGGACATCGAGCTGGACCTGTCCTTCACACACGACAACGTGGGAGTTCTCTTCCACGACGACAGCCTCGAGCGGACAACAAACAATGAGGTATTCCTGGCGAACATCGTCTTTCGCGGATCTGCGTCAACTGGAAACCGGAAACAAGAATCCACTTTCCAAGAAATGCCGCGGTTGCGGTCACGTCCCAACGTTCGAGGAAGGCATCCAGGAGTGCCTTCGCCAAGGACTGCGGTTCATCATCTACGTCAAGAAGTACGATGGCCGTGCCGTGGCGCTGCCTCAGGCGTGCTATTCATCCAGTGGCCAGAACTGTACCACCGAGGGCTCGTCTCCTCACCAAACGCATTTTTCATTTATGTGCTGTGGATTAAAAACCCTGACATCGTTACGACACTAACCTGGTGACCTGGGCTGCTTGTGTACGAAAACGCGGTAAAGCGACGCCCTTGCTACGAAATGCCTGTAAAGCAATATAAGGCGGTCATCGCTGACTGGCTTCTGGAGCAGGCGTGCAACACGGGCCTGCTTCATCACATGACCGATGCATTCGTCGTCCTTATGTGGAAGGATAGTTTAAACTTCGACAGCGTTCGCACGTGGCATAACCGGGGCGTGTACGTAATTGCCTGGACTCCGAACAAACGCGTAGAGAAGGACTATTTAGGCACGTTCTACGAGTACCCATCATGACGGACTCACTAGAACAAAAAGCGCAGTGTAAAGGCGTAACTGCACCTTCTTATTGGAGGCCTGTTACTCGTCTGCTTTCGGTTATCTGGACTCGAGGCTTCTTCGGAGCACCTACTCAATGCATGGCATAATTTTTTAAATCTAATTTATGGAAGTTTCTATATGTGTATATTCCAGTAATGCGCCTTTTTTGCTGACTAGATAGACTGGACTGGCCAACGTCGCGCATGCTTACGTTGCAGGCATCGGCGTATACGAGTCGGGAAGTTGTGAAAGGGAGGATTTATGCCGACTTCATCAACGTGTCATACAAACTATCCGAAACGAATTTCTGGAGATTGCTATGGCTATTTTTGTACCTACACTCGTATAAAATTTCTTAAAATACGATTATACACATCTAATAGTTGTAGCATTCCAATGAAATGATCGTGCTTTTTCAAACTTTTCATTTCGTGGCCATGTATACAAAACTTAGTCTAGAGCCCCGCACTATCGCCTTCTACTAATCAGCTTGCGCAGGGAGCGTCAAGAGGGTATGCGTAGACTTCAAAAAGTGATCTCGTAAGGGTTCACCTTGTCGAAGTTCGTCCTTATGCTCCCCGCTGCACGATACATTAAGTTTACGCACTGATTTGTTGCAGTGTTTGTCTAATGATGAACCGGCACTGCTTACTCTTGAGCTATAGTTCCTTCGATAAAAATGTTGCTTCGGTTAAAAAACGTCAGACGACAGCGATGGATGGTTTAAATGTTTTATTGTATACCCTCAAGACCCGTGTATTGCGGGAGTAACTGGTAAGCACACGTGATGGACGATTGTCCCGTACACGATGTTTTTTTCACGACGACCGCGGGAATATCTAACCGTCTCCCCATTTTGACCTGCCTCCCTATCTCATTTATACTTTCATTATCTCTTCCGCTGTGAATCACTGCTGAGATGTCGCGCTTTCATGCAGACAATTGCGGGGTTCAATTTTCTCTTCATATCTTCTGTAAAAACCTCTACACCCCCCCGCCCTATACAAGTAAAAAAATTGCTCCTTCCTCTCCTCTGCGAACAAGAATGTTTTGCGAAACTATAGGTACAGCTTCGCGGCACATGCGAGTTGGGGGGGAGAGGGAGGGGTTATGTCTTGTGCGTACTTTTGACTAATGGTAGCGATAATCGTTTCGTGGTCACTGCACTGGACCGCGATTGTTTCGCCATCCGTTTTCAGCATTACGAATTTATTCCTTTCGTTGAGCAGTATATTACCGCTTTTTTCTTGCGTCTTTTATTTTCATGGTGTACTCATGGCAGTCTCCCATTGACATGGATGGTTTTCTAGATATATCCTTTATATATGAAAGCAAAAACTATACGCGGGGGCAAAGAAAAAAATTACATCATCCCCCAATAAAGGTAACCATGAATAGAGTGCGAAGCAGCGTATGGATCGGTTTAAAGTTCCGTTCATCACGGCCACCTTGCCCAATGTTAACGCGTCCTCGCAAGTGGACCATGGATGCACTGTACTTTCTGTTGCTGTTACTCGTCCCGAACTCTTGATGGAGCACGCCACGCGGAAGTACGTGCGTTCGTCGTGCGTCTGCATAATCTCGTTCCCCAACGCCATTACGTGATAGCTGATAGAGTGTAAGGGGGGAGGGAACCCAGCCCCTTGCACATGCCGGCACGCATTAGCACGTGAGCGCGTTTTGGTAGTGCTTGGGCCAGCTGTTGTGCGTGCGCAGAAAGGGTGGTTACGCAAACCGGATTGAGCTCATCTATAAGCTTTTTCGCATATAAAATTCTCTTTTTCACTTTAAGTATGCCCTCTTTCTCTACTCGTTGTCGCCTGAGAAAAGGGATGGTTTTGATGAG